TATGGTGTTGAGATATAGATGGAGGGGGGGGGGGGCTAATCAATTGGGGGGGGGGGGAGTTGGTTCTTTTTTCCATCAAAGATGGTCGCATGATGTAGCGTACCAACGGTCGCGCTTGGCTCATATTGTATGCACCAAAAGGGATGTGCGAGGGAAGAGGGAGCATAAATTATGTACGGGCACCAGATGCAGTGGGACAGTGGCATGCGATTCTGTAGGATGGGTGGCCAGGGCAGAGTCGCGTTCACCCAGCCAAACATAAAACACACCTTGAATTATGCATAGAGCACGTAGGGTTTACACGCAAGCAACGTGTTACAGGGGGAGTCGTTACTGCGGAGCTGTGAGTAGTGGGGGGGGGGGGGTGTTAGAGGTAGGGTTGATTAGAAAGGGTGGTTGCATTTGGGGTTTGGTATGGTAGGGTTGTTGAATATGGGGTTGATAAGGTAAGGTTGTTCAATCTGGTGTTTGATATGGTAGGGTTGTTGGATGTGGGGTTGATATGGTAGGGTTGTTGGATGTGGGTTGATATGGTAGGGTTGTTGAATATGGGGTTGATATGGTAGGGTTGTTGAATATGGGGTTGATAAGGTAAGGTTGTTCAATGTGGTGTTTGATATGGTAGGGTTGTTGGATGTGGGGTTGATATGGTAGGGTTGTTGAATATGGGGTTGATAAGGTAAGGTTGTTCAATGTGGTGTTTGATATGGTAGGGTTGTTGGATGTGGGGTTGATATGGTAGGGTTGTTGAATATGGGGTTGATAAGGTAAGGTTGTTCAATGTGGTGTTTGATATGGTAGGGTTGTTGGATGTGGGGTTGATATGGTAGGGTTGTTGAATATGGGGTTGATAAGGTAAGGTTGTTCAATGTGGTGTTTGATATGGTAGGGTTGTTGGATGTGGGGTTGATATGGTAGGGTTGTTGAATATGGGGTTGATAAGGTAAGGTTGTTCAATGTGGTGTTTGATATGGTAGGGTTGTTGGATGTGGGGTTGATATGGTAGGGTTGTTGAATATGGGGTTGATAAGGTAAGGTTGTTCAATGTGGTGTTTGATATGGTAGGGTTGTTGAATATGGGGTTGATATGGTAGGGTTGTTGAATATGGGGTTGATAAGGTAAGGTTGTTCAATGTGGTGTTTGATATGGTAGGGTTGTTGCATGTTGGGTTGATAAGGTAGGGTTGTTGAATAAGGATTTATAAATTAGGGTTGTTGAATGTAAGGTTGATAAGGTAGAGTTCTTGAATATGGGTTTATAAATTAAGGTTGTTGAATGTAAGGTTTTAAGGTAGGGTTGTTGGATGTGGGATTGTTGAAGGTGGGGTTCATATGGTAGGGTGGTTGAATGAGGGGTTGATATAGTAAGGTTGTTGATACGGTATGGTTGTTGAATGTGAAGTTGATACGGTATGGTTGTTGAATGTGAAGTTGATACGGTATGGTTGTTGAATGTGAAGTTGATACGGTAGGGTTGTTGAATCTGAAGTTGATATGGTTTGGTTGTTGAATGTGAAGTTGATACGGTAGGGTTGTTGAATGTGAAGTTGATACGGTTTGGTTGTTGAATGTGAAGTTGATACGGTAGGGTTGTTGAATGTGAAGTTGATACGGTTTGGTTGTTGAATGTGAAGTTGATACGGTATGGTTGTTGAATGTGAAGTTGATACGGTAGGGTTGTTGGATGTGAAGTTGATACGGTAGGGTTGTTGAATGTGAAGTTGATACGGTAGGATTTTTTAAAATGGGATTGATAGGGAGGGTTGTTGATACGGTCTAATTGTTGATGAGTTGTTAAATATAATTTTTTGCCAAATTTCTGCCAATGATGACTGTCCTGTGTCGATTCAGCTGGCTTGCCCTTTCTTCTTTTGACACGAGGTAAAGCTTTAAAGTTCTAATGAGGATGCAACACGCGATTTCTCCTGAATGGATGCGATTAGCGATACATTGAATTTATTAAAATACTATTTATTCATTATAGGCCTATATTTATAAAGATTACAAAATGTAAAAAGAAAGATTATTTAGAACTTGTTAATATGAATTTAAATAATATAGTATTACTAATTACGAAATAATACTTCAGAGTATTCTATTTCAATACGTAAGTGCCGTATGAACCCGACGTCACACTCTTAGTGCAGGGAGAGCAGGACTTATGTGACGATTTGTGACGAGGTGGAGGTGGGTGGATGGTTTAGAAAGAGTGACGATACACTTCTGCATCTTAAAAAATAACTTCAGTAACTGAATATTAGCCGTTTTTACGCATTTTTAAAAGAATGTTTTTGTAAAATGTAATAGAAAGTGATTAATACACTCAATGTTGGCAAAGATCAGCACATATTTTTAGAAGGAAATCAAAGTTTCAATAAGAATAAAACAGCCATTTTGAAAGGGGTTGTAGACTGAGATGTTACGCCAATTCTTAAGGTTTTGTGTGTGTGTGTGTGTATGTGTATGTGTGTGTGGGGGGGGGGGGGGAAGGGGAAGGACAAAATGAGTTTTGAAAGGATGACGTGGTTTAGAGATTAACCTTAATGAATGTCTAGAGTTCTGCCACGTCTTTAATCATGTGTATGGGTATTTAAAGCGTTTTTATTTAGATGATATTTTTTTTAGCAGAATGAATGACCAGCTTCAACTCTTAACTCATTACAATCATATTATTATACATTGACAACAGTAACTGTGGATTATTTTATATTAATGCTCATTTAATAAGTATGTAGCAATAGATTTCGTGGTTTGTGTTTGTATGTGTAGGGTCTAGAAATATAATCATGAAATATGTGTGTGTGCGTGCGTGTGTGCGTGCGTGTGCGTGTGTGTGTGTTGTTGTTGTTGAGTTAAAAATGTCCGTATTTGGTTTTATGTTATCTGTATAAGCCCATACTACACGCATTGAAACGTAGGGTGGGGGTTGTTAAAAGAGGGGACGGTTGAAACGTTGTATATGTTAAGCGGGACTTCTGTTAACAGTGACGCTCTTGATAGTTCTAGTGGTGGCGCGTTCAATGAGCTGTAACAGCGTTGTCAGAGCGGAGATATGCTAGAACGTTCGAATCAGGCGGGCTAGTGGAGCTGCGTCAACGTCACGAGATGTCATGAGAACATCAAAAGACCACCGTTTGAAGGGGGGGGGGGTGCAAATCGAAAACTTGAGGGGGGGGGGGGGTTGCAAATCGAAAATTTGTCCCCGGGAAGGGTCGCTACGCCTCTGGGGGTGACACCATTAAGTGCCGCACCGTGGGACACCCGACCTCGCTACGCCACTGATCCCACTAGACCTCTCTCATAAAAAGACCACCAAACCGTATCCCACTAGACCTCTCTCATCAAAAGACCACCGTATCCCACTAGACATCTCTCATAAAAAAACCACCTTATCCCACTAGACCTCTCTCTCATAAAAAACCCACCGTATCCCACTAGACCTCTCTCTCATAAAAAACCCACCGTATCCCACTAGACCTCTCTCATAAAAAAACCACCGTATCCCACTAGACCTCTCTCATAAAAAAACCACCGTATCCCACTAGACCTCTCTCATCAAAAAACCACCGTATCCCACTAGACCTCTCTCATCAAAAAACCACCGTATCCCACTAGACCTCTCTCACCAAAAGACCACCAAACCGTATCCCACTAGACCTCTCTCATCAAAAAACCACCGTACCCCACTAGACCTCTCTCACCAAAAGACCACCAAACCGTATCCCACTAGACCTCTCTCATCAAAAAACCACCGTATCCCACTAGACCTCTCTCATCAAAAAACCACCGTATCCCACTAGACCTCTCTCATCAAAAAACCACCGTATCCCACTGCCATCACACCAGATGTGACAGTGACAGTCCGTGCTCTACACATTTCATTCAAGTAAAAAAATTTGAATAAAATATTCGTTCTGTATAGCTCATTATAAGGCTATACTGAACAGATGTTGAAGTACTTTGTGTTGTAGGCCCACGGAACAGAGAACTACCTCTTGAAAACAATACCGAACTTACGAGAATAGTAGAAGGCCTACAGTCAATTAGTAAGGGCCTACACTTTGACCACACATAAAAGCGCTAATTAAGTTTGGTGTAGGGGGTCACACTCCAAAACAAAGTGGGGGGGGGGGGGGGGGGGCTATTTAGACTTGTGTGTCGATGTATGAGGAAGATGAAGGGGGTTAGAGAGTGTGACGTCACAGCTGTTATAATTTTTAATGTAACTTCTTTAAACTGAATATTTTAGTAATTATTTCCCATTTAAAAAAAAAAAAGGTACTAATGTAAATTGAAATACAAATTCAATTTACCCAATCTTGACCTATGTGATAGAGTTAGTACCAGCTTAACTGATATATTGGGCTGTAATTGTGTAGGGTTAGCATGGCAGTTCATATATTGGTGATTATATTGAGTTTATAACCCCTAGAATTCAACACATTATATATATATATATATATATATATATATATATATATATATATATATATACATTTCTTCTGTTGTAAACTATGCATAGCACTTGTGATCTATATATATATATATATATATATATATATATATATATATATATATATATATATATATATATAGATCACATGTGCTATGCATAGTTTACAACAGAAGAAATGTCTAACTTGCAAGTCCACTCATAATTAATTATTTTATGCTTAAAAGCGATGAAATGTCTAAAAGAATGCCAGAATTAGCCAATCTCTATTTAGGCACCTAGTAGAATTATATGGCTGGTTATATGACAGTTGTGGTAAGAGTATAAAAAAAGTAAACTCTACTTCAACTATTCTAGTGATCATCAGGTCTTAAACTAGTGACAAAAAAAAAATGACCAATTGAAACAAAATGTTTTTCCGGGGTAGAGTATTACTACACATTTAAAAAAATGTAACTAGTCATTAGTGAAGTTAAAGAAAAGCAGAACACTTATATACAATACACAATTTAAATCAAAACTAACAAAACAGCATTTTTATTAATTACCAGTTTTATTAAGAAAAATATTTATTTTACAGGAATAAAATGTACAAAAATGTTACATACAGTTCTCTTCATATCACAGTTTGGACTTAGTTTCACAAAAAGATTGTGGTATAAAACAAATTGGTGGAGGGATTGTTACAATATCATCCTGGAACCGTAGGATAGGCTTATAAAAGACATGAACAACACAAGTGAGTGAATTAAATGTTTTTTTAGCCAAGTCACAGTAATTTGTGACTAGAGATTCTTAGACTGTTCCTTCAACAACTGTAAAAAAATGACAGACCATTGTCAGAAAAAATTACATTGTTTGAGGTATCACTAAAAATTTTCCGTACAGATATTTATTTTTCTTTAGTCTCCATTTTACTAGAAAGCAAAAACTTTAAACCTACAAATTTTAAAGGTTAAATTGAATAAACATTTTTCCTAAGTTTTAAATTTCCAACATAGTTACAAAATAACACTTAATTGTTCACAGCTAAAACAACTTTCTAATAATCATGCATAGTAAATGTAAAATAAAATTTTTGATTAAAAACGCTATTTTACCAATAATATGCAAATAACATTGATAATTCAATATGACTCCAGTGTATATTTATTTAAAAGGGTTTAGTTAAGGGGATATGCGCGGAAAAAAATCACAAAATTTCTTGTTTTTTGTCATGATGGGTTTCTTGCACTTTTGGATACTTTGTCCATTTGTGTATATGGAAAATAATAACTTTAAAGAGAAAAAAATATTTTATGTGTTTGAATTACGATTTTTATGACCCTATTAATTAAAAAAAAATCAATTTTTCGCAATCTTACAAGCTCTCTATGAAAAGTTTTATATCCGTCATTATATTGTATTTGACATCATTGGAAAGCTTGATTTGTCATGTATTTAATAAATTTAATTTCCTACATCTCGGAAACACCCAAAGCTTGCAATCGGCTTTGCAGTTTACACAGATATGGTACTTTCCTGACCTAATTTTCGTTACTTTTGGCTGTTTTTCTCAGTTCGCAGGTTTTTAACACTAAAAAGCCTACTACTTTTTTATTTATTAAACAATGCCAACCATATTTTCAGTAAATGTTCTTGATGCAAAAATACAACTTTTGTCTCGAGGGAATTGTGATTGCTTTCATAGAAAAAAAGTATTTGGTAATTAATATGCACATTTTGAAACTTTTGAATACTAAAAAGGGTACGATTTTTTAGACCTTGTAAAATTCTTACTAGTAATTATTTCAAAAAGTTGTCGTGACAAAAGTTTTAATATATACTGAAATATAAGCAGTTTAAATTTGATTGCTATAGATGCATAAATAAAAAAGGCTTAGCATTTTTAAAAGTACCGAAAAATTCAAAATGGCGGAGGTTTTTTGGTTTCCATGACAACCAAAACTGTTTTTGACCCTTTTCTTTTGCTGTTTAATACTTACTTTTATATACCAAATATGATAAACGTATTCAAAAGGCTTTAGATCTTAAACTGCAAAAAGTAGAAAAAATCATAGCATATCCCCTTAACTAGAATTGATGATAATTTTAAATTGCAGAACAGAAAACAGATGTACATTGAATCATGCAAAAAGGATCATAAGCATCACTAAATGCAATATTCACTAACTTTTTAAAAACCCTAAAGCAATAAATTTGTCTACAAATAAAAACAATTTTTCTGGCCATCAACAACAAAAAACATGTTTAAAAATCAACGAATATTTTAACTACAGAAATTACAAAATATAACTGTATATATACTTGTATTTAAAACAAAAACAAAAACTAAAACCAATATTTGCACGCCATATACAAATAATATTATAAACTAATTTACACTAAAAACCCAGCATAAGTTTAAAAATAATTAAACCAGCTTTGTTGGTAAAACAGAGGTCAGAGTTCAAATAAACAAAAAACAAAAATCTAAGAAGAAACAAGGCTAAGTAAGTTGGATACATTTATTACGATCTCTGATATCTGAGTTTGTTGAGAATTCTTTACATTTTATAAGGCACATTTCATGGACAAAATGTCCACGTTGTTTTTAAGTTATGGCAAATGTGGATATTCACAAACTGAGTTTTGTTTCAAAATAATATTACCCAACACTAGATTTGGGCTGAAAATAAATTGTTACCACATTCTGAAACACACCCTCCATATTTTAAATGCCATACTAATAAATAATGGCTATCTACATATCTGACTGGGAAAAAAAGATACTCTAAATCTATGAGGAAGTAGATTCAGTTTAAATTTTATATACAAAAATACTATTAGAAAAAAAGCTTATTATTTAGTTATTAAAATAACTATAATATACATTTATAAATTTGCAAACTGAGAGAGATTTTGTTATAATGTTGTTGAAATTTTATGAAGAAAAAAAGATAATGATTTTCATGCATTAAAATAATGTGATTTGCTACTGATTTAAGACAACACTTTCTACACAAAAAAGTTTAAGTAATTTTGTTGTATTAATCTACATAACACTTCTATTATATGAAGACTTTTTCTAGTAAGTACATTTTAGAAAAAATAGTTACATTCTCATCCAAAGAATTTTAATGCATTTAATTTCCCATTTTATTACCTAAATTTTTAATATCTATCTAAACTAAATTGACCAATCTATTTGGTAATGAACTTTTTATAATGATTGGTCCATAGGCCACCCCAAAAGGAACTTTACAAAACCGTGTTTTACAATGCTGTTTTAGTTTTAGCAGTTGAAAAAAATTATTTACTCCCCAATGAGCAGTTTAAGCAACAGATTCGTAAACAGCAAGCAAGGCATCAATAGAATCGTTGTCATCTTTGGCTGGTGCTGGCGGAGGGAGGGATGATTTGCTGCCCCGTCTTCTGGAGGAATCAACTGATGCACGTTTTTTGTTGGGTCTAGACAAAGCAAGTAAGATGGTAACAAAGAAAGTCAGATGTTAACAGAACATGTCCGATGTTAACAAAATGAATCAGATGTTAACAGAATAAGTCAAATGTTAACAGAATAAGTCAGATGTTAACAGAACATGTCAAATGTTAACAGAATAAGTCAGATGTTAACAGAACAAGTCAGATGTTAACTAAACAAGACAGATGTTAACAGAATAAGTCAAATGTTAACAAAACAAGTCAAATGTTAACAAAAACATGCTTTTTGTTGGCTCTAAATAAAATAAATTAGATGTAAACAGAAATAAAGTTACAGTCACATCACTTTCTTTATCCTACCCTACTAATTAGCTATTAACAGATTATAATTCATATGTGGATTTCTCTCAATTTTTTTATCATATGGAGCTGAGAGGGGGTGTGGTGAATTGATCAAGAATAGAATGTTGTACACAAGAATGATTTTGTAGACAAGTGACTAGAGTATTGTAGACAAATGGTTAGAATAATGTACACCGGTGACTAGAATAATTTTATACACATGTGATTAGAATAATGTACACCAGGAATGATGTTGTACACCAGAGATTAGAATGGTGTGCTAGAACACAAAAACTCACTTTTTAACTTCTGTGTCTGACTCCTCTCCCCCTGAGAGGAACCTCAACTCCCCAGATTTTGTTTTCACTGCCGTCACAGTTCCACTGCTGCTGCTAACACTGGGCGCTCTGCCTGGTCTAAAGGCATCTACCTCATCTGTTGAGGTAAGGAGATATAAACATGTGAGGTATAAACCTACTTAATGACATACTTCTACCTCATCTGTAGAGGTAAGGAAATATAAACATGTGAGGTATAATGACATACATCTACCTCATCTGTAGAGGTAAGGAGATATAAACATGAGGTATAGACCTACTTAATGACATACTTCTACCTCATCTGTAGAGGCAAGGAGATATAAGCATGTGAGGTATAATGACATACATCTACCTCATCTATAGAGGTAAGAAGATATAAACGTGAGGTATAGACCTACTTAATGACATACTTCTACCTCATCTGTAGAGGTAAGAAGATATAAACGTGAGGTATAGACCTACTTAAGGACAATCATCTACCTCATCTGTAGAGGTAAGGAGATATAAACATGTGAGGTATGAACCTACTTAATGACAATCATCTACCTTATTTGTAGAGGTAAGCAGATATAAACATGTGAGGTATAAACCTACTTAATGACACACAAGATACAACCTACTTAATGATATAGCTACTTCAGATATTAACATATAAGATAAAAGCCTACTTAATTCATCTGCGTCATCTGTAGAGGAAAGCAGTGAGATAAAACTTACTTAATGATACTAGATGAACTTACTGAATGACGTATGAGATACAACCTACTCTACGACACTTGCGGTACAGGGTACCTAATGACACAAAAACCTTCCCTATGTTCTAATCAAATAATGCGTACCATCTTCTGTGACATAATTAGCAGGGAAGAAACCTTGTTGTCCATCAGGCAACTCTCCCATCCACCAGTTGTCATTATCTTTATACAAGACTGTGACCACGTCACCTTTATACAAGTTCAGTTCATCTGAACGCTGTGCTCTGTAGTCATAGATGGCCAACACCTAACGCAGACACAACAAAACAAAATTAATTTTTAAAATTTATGACACTATTCTTTTATCATGTGGGATGGCGTAACCTAGCGGTAGAGTACTAGACTGCAAGCAGAAAGTCTCAAGTTCAAATCTAGGTTCCAGTCAATAGAGCATCCCTGAGTCCACCCAGCTCTGATTGGTACTGGACTCACGTTAGGGAAAGTAAGGCTGGCTGACCTAGTGCTGACCACACTATCTATTCATATGCCGAGGTAACAGAAAAGCTGAACTCTACTTCACTTGCCCAATGGACCATCATGTTTGAAAATGGGGAATCTTTAGTCAAAGATGGCCAAAATCTATGACATGCATTACAAAACAAAATTAAAAATACTATTTTTTTACCCTAATCTGTAGTCATTTTAAAATTGTTTACATCCAAACAGGTCTTTTTAAATGAGCCATGTTAAAGGTCACCCACCTGTTTTTTGTGGACTGTCTTGCCAACTGCACCCTCAAATGTGAACTGAGGTTTTCCAAGAGACTAGACCAACACAAAAAAGTTATTGTTAAAATTTTATAGAGGCTTACAATTTTTAATAAAGTATAATAAGATTTGTATGAAACTGACTGGCTTCCACACAGACATATTGATCATCTAAATCTTTTCAGTTGCCCATATCAGATAGTTATATAAAATGCCATAGATCTACTTCTTTGTTCTTAATCGTAATATTTGAGTGAACTCCCTCCAACATGTTTATATATCATGTGTTAACATGTTGTACAGGATATGGCCTGTTGACTTCAGCCTGCTTTTCTAACTGGATTTGCTTCCATAGCCTTTGTCCATACAAAGATAAACTAGATGGTTTGCTGTCACCAGCTGACAAATAATCATGCAGTCTCCAGCCCCTATAGATCTAGTAAACTCAAGCCTGAATTTTTAAATCAATGTGGCTAGTAAAAGGTAAAAGCAACAAAACAAAAACCAATCAAGACAGACAGTCAACTTACAGTGCTAAGTGATAGCTGTGGTGGCCTGCCATAGTATGCTGGACTTTTAGATCCATGTCGACCCACTGAAATTTTTAAAATGTGTTTTAACCTCCGATATTTGTAGAGTTTAATGAACTAAACAACAACAAAGTTACTGAAATACACGAAAACTAAATAAAAACATGTTCCGGATCCATAAACTTGGTAGAACTGGCTAAGCCTCAACAAGTGAAAATGGTTTAGTATTAAAGGTCAAATATTATTGGTCAAGAACAGGGCATATGGTCAAGTTTAACTTTGGGTAACACAAATTTGGGTTTAAGATTTGATTAAATTAATGGCACATGATCACATCACATCAGTGACATCTAACATTGGATTCTCACTCTTTTTGACAGTACATCAAAATTTAAGACATACAATATGTAAAAAGGCATTTAAATTATTATAAAAGCTGTTCTGAGACTGATCAATGATAGAAGAGAAAAAAAACCTTCAGAGAAGCCAGGCCTCCAGTCCCCACCAGACTCTCTCATGTAACCTTTCTGTGACAAAAGTTGACTAGTCAGCTGTGAGCCGCTGCCTGCAGGTGCATGAGGTGACAACACACCTGGGGGGATGGACTGAAACAAACAAAACAAATTATGTTGGACTTAACAACTGCTTGTTTACTAGCATATTAAAATAAGTGTCAAACTTTGGAATTTTAAAACCTTTACTTATTGGTGTTCATCAACTCAATAGCAATAAATTTAATATAAGTAAATAAAAAACAAAATAAATATATAAATGTGTGCTATCCTTATTGAATGCAAATGCCTTTAAGAGTTGATGTTTTACTGAGAGTAGCTCATGTAATGACAGTTACCCCAGTACGAGGAGTTAAAGAATAATCTGAGGAGTGCTGCATCTTCCAAGTAGACTGGACACCAGATCTGCCAATGGTGTCCATCCTAGGACTCAGCAGGGACTCTGGCACTACCATTCCTGGCATCTGGGACATCTGCATCTGGAAATATGTGGTCACTGTTTTTAAATGTGCTAACCAATGTGTACTGCTGATATTATGAAGCATTTTAATTCTTAGTAAAAAAAATCTGTCAGCCTAAACTTAATTGATAATCATAAATGTGGTCAAATTATTTATCAAAAGTATTTCTAACAAAATATTTTTGGAATATTTCATGGTTTACTTTAAGTTTAATGTTGGTCTAAGCCTATCATTGTTACAAATAAAAATAAAATGTTCTTACTGTTGCCATCTCTAACTTTTTCATTGCCTTGTGGTACCGTGCTTTCCCTAGAGTCTCAAATTCTTCTTTTGACATGACTTTAGATCTAGCTGATAGCAGATCTGTTTCTTTTAAGGCACTGCAGTTATAAATGGTCTCTATTGGACTAGGTGTTTTGACTTAAATAATTCATGTGATGCTGTGATTCAGTAAGGAGGGGAGTAAAACATCTATAGAAATCCCTTACAACCAAAACACTAGAGGGATCATTCAACAAATCTTAACTATTATTCAACTGATTTATTAACATTTTTGTTCAACCATAATGATGTTGTTCTTTTCATTTAGATTATGGCATTATATATTGTTAAAAGGACAAACACAGCTTAACCATAGCAATAGCAGTTTTTTTCAAAACCTGAGTTGACAGCTTAAAATTTAGACAAGTGCTAAAACACAAACAAACCTTGTTCTGGCTGTTTCTATGTCTTCAATGTCTGTAGTTTCTAGAGGTGACATGGGTCGAGGAGAGGAGACGCCTGCTTGTGTTACTGTAAAACACATCACAAGGAACATCAGCAATCACACAAACGTTACATTTTCTCAATGAGGCCCATTATTAAACCTAAATGTTTAGGTGATTTAGTTTTATTTTCTACATTTCATACCAAGATGGTCGTATTTGTAAACAAAAATGGTATGGTTGTAAAACAGACCACAACAAACAACAGTAACCAGACAAATTTATCTTTTGTTAATGAGAGCCACATTGAAATCTTCACCTTAAGGTGTTTAAGTTTCACTCTATAACGCAGTCAAGACAAGCCAACTTACTCAGGGGGTCGTACTTGTACACATAAATGGGATGATTGTCTCCCAAAGAGCAGATGGCCAGCAGATGGTCTCTGGGATGGTAGTGGACGTCAGTGGCTGGCATGAGGTAGTTGAGTTGTGTGTATACAGCTACTTGATCCCCTGAAACATTTTATTGCCAAACCTTAGTCAAATCATAGTTACCTCTGTCTAGGATAGTGTTTAAGTTGTATCTACACTTTCCTTCGCAGACCATTTAAACAATCAAACCCTAGTAACAAAGATTTGTGTCAAACATGTACACTAATGTTTCACTTGGAATGTTCAAGCTCACTTGACCAGAAACTCTCACCAGTCTGTGCACCACCAAGAATGATACCAACAAAACAACTGACCTGTGTCTGTGTTCCAGGCATAAACTTTACCATCCTCACTGCCAGAAAAGACAAAACTCCCACAGGGTGTGATAGTGCTACAGATTTTCTCCTTCAAGTTCTCAGCACCAAAATATTTTTGCATGACTCGTTGGCTGGAAAAAAAGGCATTCAAAGCATGTGAATGTTTTTGTTAATGTTTCAAAAAAAAAAAATTTTTACTTTTAGATAGTACAATATAAAAAGTGGAAGTTTTAAAGAATATATTTTTATTTTTAAAGAATAGAATTTAAAATATGAAAAGCTAAAGGTTAAAGAAAATATACTTTCACTTTAAAAAATAGAAGATATTTTTCCAGTAGAAAACTGAAAAGAACTAAAGCCTACACTCTGAGGTCAAACATGAAGATGGAGTTGTTCCGTGCATGAACCAGGAGCCTTCTGCCACTTGGGTGCATCTTGATGAAGTTGATTGGCGTGTCTTTCAGCTCTGGTTCTTTGATTTCCTGGTACTTGGTCCAGTCTCTAACAAAATCTACATCACAAGACAGTTCATGATCAACAAAGTGTTTGGTGAAACTTTGTGTACAGTCCAAAAATAAACCTGGACATTATGGTTTGCAATGCTCAACAAGTAAAGTGCTTTAAATTGGTTACGCTATAACACTGCTCAAAATGTACATAAAAATCAAAATCACATAAAATAATAATAATCAATCATTTCAAGCCAAAAAAATTAACATATTTTACACTTTTTGTTTTGTTTATGATACGATACAGTCTAGGAAATATGACTTATGGTCTAGGAAATATGACTTACAGACAATGAAATGTGTACAGATGAGAAAATATGATTTACAGACAAGGAAATATGACTTACAGTCAACATGGTCAAGGAAATATGACTTACATTTGAGGAAATATGACTTATGGTCAAGGAACTACTACTTACGTTTCCTGGATGTTTGATCAGTGACAAAGACATTCCATATGAGAATAGTGCCAACACTGTCAGCAGTGTACATCTTCTGACCATCATCCGTGTCAAAACAAATGGAGTTGATGTGGCCATGGTGTTCTTCCATCTCCTGCTGCAGCTACAGACAAACATAAAAAACTCATGAGTAACACTGGGGTTCTTTTTGAATGATCATGATTGAGGTATTCAATCTTAGATAGTGTAGTACAAACTGCACAAACACTGAATGTCTAATAGATCAATTGGATGAGAGTCTTTAGATAATAACATTTTAAGGGAGATCAACTGGATGTATACTAGCAAGCTGAGTATTGAGATAATAGAGTTTTAAGGTACCAAAAACTGTACTTATTGATATAATGTCAAAGTCAAATAAAATGAGTTATTAACTCTGCAATTTACTATTTGGTGGATATTATATTTTTATATATATATTTTTTTATTTTTAATAATCTCTAAGAGTATGTTGAATTCTTGAATGAACTCTTTTGCACCAGTACAGAAAGTAGTGAACATATGGCAAAGAAATAAACCCTGTAATTTAATAATGTCCTTGATTAAAATTTGAAAATAAATCCATATTATTATTCCCATTTTTCAATAACAAAAATATACAGATTTTAATGTGAGATTTATTAGAATAAAGATGAAATTTTTAACCATGATGAAGTAAAAAGTACAAAACATACCACATTGTAGTCTTCTGGTATACTGATGTCCCAGACACGAACAACCTCGTCATAGCCTCCAGTTACCACAATGCTGTCTACCCGGGGATGAAACTCTGCTGTGTACACATAGCCAGGGTGGGGCAGGAGGCGGGTCTGGTTTTCTCCAAGTTTTGTCATGTCCCATATCCTGTAAAACATACATTATATTTTATTTAAGTAATGAACATTACATTTTTAACAACATAATCAAGAAATCTAAACAGCAACATCATGTAAATAAAATAAAACTAACCCTATGACACACCTGTGAAAGAGCCATACTCACATGATAGTGATCCAGAGACACACCTAACAGGGAATTATCTGACAATTCCCAGAGACCCACCTGACAGATGCCCTCTTGACAGTAATCCAGCTACTCACCTGACCCAGTGACCCCCCCCCCCCCCTCCCCCACCACAAAGACCACCTGACAGGTACCCACAGACCCACCTGACAGTGCCATCACTGGAAGCAGACATGAGCTGTGTGTCACTTTTACTCCAGCTCAGGCTGTAGATTATGCCAAAGTGACCTTGAAATTGACCTTTAAGTGTCCCTGATGGTATCTAAAAAAATTATGGCATTGAAAACTCAACTTATGCCGAGACATGTTTATTTAAATTAATATTCAAAACTGGAATAAACTACCTCATAAGCTTGACTATGAAAAAACAAAGCCAAAAAAACATCAAATGAGAATATACCTCATAGACTAGAATAGGGAAATCTGTTCCTTCTTGGCAGGCACATGCCAAATTCCTGGACAAAGCAAATACAAATATTCACTGGCATTTAAAAAATAATCAGTTTGACTAATTACAAATTATGATAAAGGTATTATTTTAATATCACAGAAAAATATATGTTCAATTCTTTCTGTTCTGTTAATTAGAGTTTTATGTTTCAATATATAGAGGAAAATCTTCTCAATTTAAAGTCAAACAGCAGAACCACTAAACAATTAAATAAATAATTTTTAAAAATGTATTACCTGCCGTCGTTAGAAAACCTGACAACAAAACAACCCTTCTTGCCAGCAGGAAGTGTGAGAGACAAACTGTTTGGCACTCGACACAGCTGACCCAATAGACGAGTCCACGTAGTATAAGTACGTCCAGAATGAATTGTTTTCTCTTTGCCTGACCAGTTCATGGTTTTCAAATCCTTATAGCTCATATTACCAAGTTCCTAAAAAAAATTTCATTATTATTCTTAAATTTTCTTTAAAAAGTTTTTTAATGTACTTGTGAAGGAGAGATATCAATTTAATATTTTTTAGAAATACTATAACGACAACACATTTACAGTTAGTTATAAATAATAAAGTTAAATTATATTAAATTAAAACTACTCATGTGGACTGCAATTATTATGACATTTTTATAAATGCGCGCAACTGATCCAGACTCACTTTCTGGGTAGCAAACATAGATCTCATGCCTCCTGACACCTCTTTTGGACTTTCTATACTTTTAAGTGTGACATAGAGAGTTGAAGGGTAGGGAACACGCTGACCTGATTTCCACCACTGGTAAACCTGTACATAGGAACAGAACACATTACAATGTATTCATGGTTGTAAAATAAATTTGACATCAGCTTTACAATAGCTGTGTTAAAAATTCACTCTAAGGTTAAATTGATTATTAAATAATATTGATCACAGAACCATATTTTACAATTGTTATGTTATATATTTACTCTAAAATGCTCTCACAATACAATTAATTGATGACAGTTATAAAGTTATAACAGTATACTAACCTCTGGCTGTCCTGGTACTTTAACAGTCTTAGTTGCTGGTACGAACAGCTGCAATCTCAGCTTGTTTCCTGTGTTTACTTTATTGTTCTTGCCCAGCACCTGGCATTATTTCAAAATTAATAAACTCTGTTTATTTTTTTTTAACTATACCATCTCTATATATGCTCACTCATTCTATTCAGACAAAAATAAAAGTAATAAAACTAATGTTTCTGTAAGGTAAAAAATTTAAGAAACCTTCAAAAATGCCCAAGCAATTTTGTGCCATCCGCCTTCCCCTCCTTTTTGGCTGGCCATCTGGCGACTGGCTGTATTCATGCTTACAAAATCAAGCAGCTGAAGAAAAATTAAAATGATATACTTGATAAACAGAAAATAAACTGAATGTTGATACATAAAGTAAAATAACAACACAGTAGGCCATCTCAAGGCAGAAATAACTCAATCAGCAGGATCCAAACTATGAATGAAAGAATTAGAAACTTGGAAAGTCATTGAAAATGATCATATATACATAAACAGAGTGGTTTGATTTAATTCTTAGGTGTTTGGATACATTTTTACTAACCTATGTAGGTGAAAAATAACTAAACAATAGACACATAATATTAATTTATCAGGATGTACAGCATGAAGCAGAGTTAAATCTTTACCTCAAATAATAAAATGACTTTAGGGTTTGGTTGAATAAAGTAATTGAAGTTTTCATTGAACACGAGCAAGTCTTCCCAAACTGGAATAGTTGACCTGTTTTAGGTAAAAAAAAAAAAATTCTGTTATTTTGTACTTGGTGTTTTTAAATCAAAAAGTATTATTGGATTATTTTAAAATAACTATTTCATTTATTTTAGTTCTTTTTAAAATCTTTTTCTAAATGTCAATACTTGTTAAACAGATCAGTAAAAAAATATCAAAAGTTTGGAAGTCCTATTAAAAGATGGTAAAACTCACTTTCTCTCCTTAAAATCAAAGGGCTGTGTCATCATTGGGAGAATTGTTTTCACTTGTTCATTGGCGGTTTCAAAATGATAAGTCACAGCTCTATCTCTGTGGGACATTTTTTATTTCATTTTGAATACATGTTCCAGTTTAAAATATTTAAAGCAACAATACAATGAGCAATGCCTTTTTAAACCTCTTGCTTAAGAGTGAGCTTCACCACAAAACCAAAACATTAAAAACTACTCATTTGGCTAAATTTCAAATAAATGTTACTAAATTTACTAATGTTTCTATAGCAAGGTTAAATATTCCATTTTAGATTCTATAAAAAGTCCTCAATAAAAAAACATGCTATTATGGAATTTATTCTAAACATGAACTGTATCTCATCAATAATAACATGATTTATAAAACAATAGTACTGGAAAATAGTTTAGAAGGGAAATAAATGTAAACATGATTTACAAAAGTCATAATTCAGAACAGAAATGCATATGAGCTGTATCAGAAATTTTAAATAATTGATAGTTAATAATTAACTCTAAATATAAATATAGGGAAATAATAATAACAATTATTCATGAAGAAAATAAACATAAAAGTGATTTTATAAATGCCAAGTTTTGTAAGGGGTACATTTAAAAATTAACAGCTAACTTACTGGTGTTGTTTAGGAATATAATTTCCGGTCTCTTCATTAATAACATGCACTCTAATCACTGGGTGTAAAATGTGGAAGTCATTTTTCAATTTATCTGTTCGATGTATCATCAATGCCATAACCTCGCCCATGTCCTCAATGTCTGGAGGTGGCCCAGAAGTTTCCTCTGTCACAGATTTCTCCATTTTTTCTTGCCGTGCTGTAATAGTTTTAGTTTAACGATTAGTGGTACTGATCATAAGTTTGTAATGGCTAAGTGATATTTTAAAAGAGAAATAAACATATTTTATCATATAAATCTAATAATTTTAGACAGAAAATAAATTAATTAATTAACAAACTTAAAAAAAATAATAATTACTACAATGTATGAACAAGTTCAAATTTAACCAGAATGCAGCAAACAAAAAACACAATTTTTATTTAAATATCATAAAATAGCATAAATATATCAATGAAAAAACCCATTAAAACAAAAGCATATTCCAAAAAGAACACTAAGTCAAAATATGGTTAAATGAGACTACTACCTACAAGCCGAGCACATAGGAGAAAAAAATCAGCTGTCAGAATATAAAAGTTTACTTCAAGTTTAAAATATTTAATTCAGTGATGAATTATTTACATCTTTTTAAAAATGTGTTCTTAATTTTTCTGTACAAGTAAATGAAACATTTTAACAGTAAGTAATGTTAATAAAAACCATCTTTACAATTACTGTTCTAGGGAAAGTTAAAGAGGTTAATTAAGGATATTTTAATGTACCTGGTTTTCTTTTTTTCTTTGCTTTTTCCTGTTGTGATTCTTCTTCTTCTTCTGCTGACTTAGCCTGTGGACGTAAATAAAAAATATGCCATCATATTTGTTAACTGTTTTTACTTTTCTTTTTTACATATTTGTTTATTCAGCCCAGCATAAATAAAAACATAAGGAATTTGTTTTTATACTATCAACATGAGAAAACTGAAAGTGTAACATTAAAGCTTAGCTCCAGCTGGAAATAAACAGCACCCTACAGCAGAATCCCTAATTAAATTCTATGTGGGAAATGAAATATAATAGTAAAACAAACATAAAGACAAACCGCAAATAATCAATGGAAATAAGTAAATGCTTTCTACAATCAACAAATATTACGATTTCACAAAAAGAACACAAACCTCTGCTTTGTCATTTTCATCTTCAGTCTTGTCTGGCTCTTCTTCTTTGACTTTTTTTTTCCTTCTTGGCTTTGGTTTGATCTCAGCCTCTTCATCTTCCTCTGTCTTCTGCTCTACATCTTCACTGGCTTTGGCTTTCTTCTTTTTCTTGGGCTTTGATTTTTCTAGAGCAGATTCTACTTCCTCCTGATTTAATTTTTCCTTTTCCTCTTCATCTGCTTCTGTTTTTGCCTTTTTCTTTTTCTTAACTTTTGCTTTATCTGAATGATCTTCAGTTTCATTTTCTAGATCATTATCAATGGTTTTTTTCTTATTCTTAGCTTTCGGCTTAGGTAACATAACCTGGGTCTCATTACCTGGCTGATCAATTTTCTTAACATCATCTTCAACATCTGATTTGGGTTTTTTCTTCTTTTTTAACTTGGTCAAGTCTAAATGTGTGTCATTCACCAAATCCTCTTCAGCCATTTCATTTGTATTACTATCTGTTTTATCCTTCTTCTTTTTTCTAGGCGTGACAGTAACACTAGGCTCTTTAATTGCTGTTGTCTCTGTCTTTTTGGGAGTTTCAGAAGCATCAGGAGTAGGAGATTTCAACTGAAGGAAAAGCAAAAAATTTACATTGTAATCAACTCATTGATATATATTTAAATTACAACTATTCATTATTTTCAGTCAGTTAAAATGCTACCAAATTTTTGCCTAATGTATTTCATTTCTTTTTAAAATTATATTACATGTATTAAACCTTACACATTATTGGTTAATGTAACCTTGATAATTAAAGATCAGTTTAAAACTAGTAAAAAAAATGTTTTTTGTCAGTATGTAGAATCAAAGGTTTTACAAAATGTTACCAACCTTTTTCCTTGGAGTTTTTTTAGGAGTTTCAACAACTGGTTCTGGGGTAAGAATTCTGTAACAAATATGTAATAAATTTAAAATATTAATAATAGAATAAAGATAATGAAAGTTACAAAATATTACACTTAACTTGATACATGAAACATCCAAGTTTATGCCCTAATAGTTAACATTAATTTAACTTAACACCAAAGCTTAACTATTAACATGACTTGTTAAGCACTTAACTTGATACATCGAATAAAGTTTGGGCCATAAAATAAATTTAACTACAAAGTTCAACATTTACAACCCAACTCTTAAAACAATATGATAAAAAAAAATCTCACAAATCCTTATCAGTTCCATCTTTGGCCATTTCTTTTTTAACTTTTTTCTTTTTTGGTGTGAGAGGTGGAAGCTGGTCAACATTCTGTTTACTCTCCTCATTGCTGGCATTTTTATCTGGAATATAAACAATACTGAGTTAACATTAGAAGTAAGGACAAGTGCTAGAGGGCACAGGTAGAATGTTAAAAACTAGTGATCTCATCATTTGTTCAGAGATCTCCAAAATTAGTATTTAAGTTTTTTTTAAATTCTCATAGACTTAAAATAGAATTATAATTACAAACTAGAAGCAGATATAATAGTTATTTTTATCACTATCACATACTTTTTACATGTTGTTTTTCCCTCTGTTTGTTGCTTTTTCCACTCTTATTGTTGTCATCTGGGTCAAATGTATTTGCTAGTATAGTAGTGTCTTTTTCTTTGTGCAAACTTTCTATGCCTTTAGCTTCACGCAGGGATTCAAGCTGAATATTTTAAAGTATAATTTATTTATTTTCTTAAATTATCTTTTTTTTAATTGGATAGATTGAAAATCAAATTTCTAATATTTCTGATTTTAAAATTTAAAAAAATTAACTATTGTTTATTTTTAAAGTTAAAATCAAATGTTTATAACTAAGTGAAGCAATTACCACATTATCATCTGCAATATTCTTAGGTTTCTTCTTCTTCTTTTTTGTTGCAGATGCATCTCTGAAAATGTCACAATTCAATAAAGAAAAAAATAACTATAGCTTAAGAATAGTTTTTTGCAAATGGTAAAGCTGATTCTGTTACTATCTCAGAGTCAGACTTATATGAGCATTGTTTTGCCACTTATCATTTGTTTTTGGTGTCCTCTAATTCTTAAATTAAGATACATTTTTCTAACAATAAAAAAAATAGTTTTAATAAAAGCTAACTGCTCATAGAGATAAAATTTAAAAACTCACTTAGTTGACTGTGCAACCACTTGTTGTAAAATTTGATCTACTCTTAGCTGGGCATCTGATGATGGCATTTCTGAAATTGATGAATAGCTTACTATTATGACAGACTTTTAGCAAACAACATATTTCTTTACAATGAAATAACAATTAAACCATATAAGTGTTCTGTGTTAAAGATAAACCAATTATAATTTTTTAAGTTTTATTTAATTATAAAATTTTATATTATAGTATGGACCTGTTAGATATAAATGAAGGAATGATTAAAAAGTGGAATCAGACATCTGAATTGAGTAAACGATTTAACAGCTCTATAAACAACTCACAGCAGGTACAGATTCATAAACTAAAAAAGCATTAAAACATTAAGTATTTTATTGCTAATGAAATAAAATGTTTCCGTCTTTACATATAAAGGAAAATAGATTTTATTTTTTTTAAAAGTAAATATATTTTTTAAAATTCAAACTATTATTATCTATTTATAAAAATTGTTATTTTCACAATGGTTATACCGAAATAAATTATGTACCTAAATCTGATCTGTTTTTTGACCTGGCTCTTTGCTTCCTTGGTTTAGGAAAAACCTCTCCTAGAAATTTGAAATAACTTTGATTTAGCAATAAATATAGTCCAGATTAGTTAAAATTGTTTTTTTTTTTTTTAATTTCAACACTTTACTAAAGCTGATTTATTTTTCTATACACAAATCCATTGAGATAATAATCATAATATACAGACCTTCAAGTTCAAGCATCACATATCCACATTTGTCTTCAAGATATATTAATAGTCAATCAACAATTCAATCTCCTTCCTTACAGCTGTTGTATAAAATAATGTCGTATTTTCATGACAATGGTATCTTTTAAGTTTTGTTTCTCTGAAAAATGAAAATTATAATAATTAACCTGATGATTTGAAATTAAATACACAATTAACTACTAAATTATGATATAAAAAGCTTAGATTAAACATTATGCCTACATAGATCTAGATATTTTCAAATTTTGTATTAAGTTCAATGACTAGAAACTAGACAGATTGTAGATTCTAGTTCTAGTTAGAACTGAATAGATCTAGATCTAGATCTAGCTAGAATCTAGACTAGTCAATGTTATAGAGAAACTTACAATCTGCAAACACACATAGCAAAAAATCGTAGATCTATATCCTGATTTCAATTGGGTCTCATTCCTTAACTTAACCAGTTAACTATTTGACATAGAAAAAAACAAAGTACCATAATACTACGCAACCATTCTACTGTTACACTACTGTAATAATATATGCTTCATTTTGTATTCATACACATAGAATTTGAGATATTCTTGTTTTAGTAACTTACATGCTGCTATCAAACATTTTTTTGTTGTTGTATTTTTCAAAATTTTACTAGATCTAGTCTTCAAACACCTCTACTTCTACTACATATCATAGTCATACAAGTCATCAAACAAAGCACATTTTGTTCATTTAGATTAATTTAGAATACTTTAGACAATAGGGCCTACTAGATCTAGATTCTTAATATTAATAAACTATTGAACCTTATTAATTGCCTTAAGCCTTAAATAACTCCAAACCATGGTGTGTGTCGGCTGCTAAGCCAAGCTCAACTGCACGTCAAAACATGTACGCCACAAAACAAAGTACAATTTTAGCTGCATTTACTTTTAAGTAGAAGTTATATACAAATCAGTTGCTGATGTTTAGGTGCAATCATATATGTAGATCTAAAGACTTTAGTCAACAATCACAGACAAATGGTTGGATGAGGTTTTATTTTTCCAAATCATAACAAAAATATGCAGCCTTTTCCGCCATTAATGTTTACGTTAAGATCCGCACTCTATAATCCTGAGCTGTCATTGGTTAAAATTAAAGTTCAGTTGGAAACCAAAATACGTAGGCCTATATAGATACTTGATCTAGATCTAGAAATCTAGATCTAAATGCAAATGTATTTATATTTTTAGCGCAATTTCCATTCTGGAGAATTGCGTTTATTAACTCGTCATTTCTGGGAATGGATGGATGAATGTATGGATGTGTGTCCGGGCTTTAAGTCGTATCTCCTCCTCAACGAAGCAATATCGATGACTAGTTACAAAAGCAATTATGTTAAGCAAGTTACGAGGATGAGCATAGGCCATAAAAATTCCGGGTTTCTTTCATGTATTTCCCGGAAAAGCCAAAAAAATTCGAAAAAATGCAGTTTTTGGCCCATATTTCGGCAACCAGACCACTTAGCGACTTGAAACATGTACCAATCGATTTCTGCCATAATTTAGAACAATATTGCCGAAGAAAGTTTTCAAAAATATCCTCTCGTTCGGTCACAAATTTTAAAATTACATAAACACCTACAAACCGATCGTTCTTCTAGCTTGAACGCAACCCAGCATTATACGTCAGAGCTATTTATAGATAACATAAGGAAATTGCGCATAAATGTCACTAGACTTTTTTAATTAACTTGTTTTTTAAATTAAATTTTAAATAAGCTCCTTTTTTAGGAAATATGAATTGACATGTCTGTCTTATTTTCTGATCATAAAAATGCTTTAAACGTGTAATTTTATTTTTAGGATTGGGGTGGGGGGGGGGGCGCATTGTTCACACCCCCCCCCCTGAAGCAGTTAATTAAGTTTAAATGCCCCCCCCCCCCCACCTGGATAAAAAATGTCTGAAAGAAACACTTAGAGGGAGAGTGCTGCATTCATTGTAATCGCTGTTTAGAAAGCTACTTTTTGTGCAGTGTTTCTTCCAGACTTTTTTCTCCGGGGGGGGGGCGATTAAAATTTTCGGGGGGCGGACACTGCTAAAAGTATATATTTTCTATATAAATTATATAAATTTCATTTCGTTCGGGGGGGGGGGGGCGGTAAAAAAAAATTCGGGGGTTCGGGGGGGGGGGCTTCTTTCCCCCCCCCCCCCCCCCCCCGAAGAGATGCCTGGAAGAAACTCTGTTTTTGTTTCAACACTTAATTAAAGGTTGAAGGACTAGAGATCAAAAACTGCTAAAATGTGATGGTTCATAAATGAGCTCCACCCTTCAAATCGTTACTCGTTAAAGATCCTGTAAAATGACGTTACACTTCAAAACCCTGAACCATGAGATTTTTTTTACCTAATATTTTCTAACACATTAACTGAACGGCGTCAACATTATACTGATCAGTTTTTATTATAATTGACAAAATAGTCTGTAAAAATAAAATTTTAAAAAATCTTATATTTCTCAGTTTAAAAAATTGGTTTTTAGAAAACAAAAATGGGACGGCACAATTTCTGAGCCACACTGGGAATTACATTGTAATTCATGAGGCGGCTGGGTATGATTCATGATTCTGGCCACAAATAAAAGCCATTTAATTAATATCCACAATATATACAGAGTTCGCAAAACAGATTAACTGTACGACTTTATTCACAGTCTGGGTAGATTAATACTTTTTTTTTTACCTCGACACTCGAATGTATTTCTTTTAGACTTTTTTCTCCGAAGTGGGGAGGGGGTACCAATGAAATTTTCGGGAGGGGGGGGGGACTAAATTTTCCTGGGGGGGGGGGGGCAGACACTGGTAAAAGTATATATATATACATTATATTTCGCTCGAAGATATACTCTGTAGAAACTATCCCGGTACCAGAGGCGTAGCGGGGGGGGGGGGGGGCATATGTCCCCGGGCGCCGACCTTAGGGGGGGGGGCGCCAAATTGAAAGTTTGAGGGGGGGTGCAAATGAAAAGTTCGAGGGGGGGTGCAAATCGAAAGTTTGAGGGGGGGTGCAAATGAAAAGTTCGAGGGGGGGGGTGCAAATCGAAAATTTGCTCCCGAGGGGGGCGCCAAATTGAAAGTATGTCCCCGGGCGCTTTATGAAATGTAAAAAATATAGATCTAGATTCTTAATCTAGATCAAAATCTGATTAATGTTTTTTCGTTTGAAAAAAAATAATAATGCAGCAAAAAAAAAGGATTTTTATTATTTGGATCTCAAAGGCAAAGAACTTTTCATGAAATTTTTAAAAACTTTTTTTGTTAATGCTATATTTATGAAGGTCTATTAAATTATTAAAATACCTAACCAACTGCAAAGTTATAAATTTTCTGCGATGGGTTACTTACTGAGATTTTTAAAAGATTAATTTAAATTAATGAATTAATTTTCGGTCAATCGTTTTTTTAAATTTAATTTTTAATGTTTCTAACGCAGATTCTGACTATTAGAGTGACCAATAAACAGCTAAAATTATAAACGAAATGTAACAATAATGGTGAATGTGAAAAAACTGAATAACGCAAACAAATGTTTATGTTTGATCAGCCAGATTAATCTTTCAGTAAAACTCTTATTCGATTTCTTCATTAATAAACAGCAGTTAACAAATTAGACTACTGATTTGCAAGTAATTATTCTGTAGCTCTGGCTAGCTGCTAGAAAAACATCTACTCTGCTTTAGTTACACTACTCACTACTCAATGTAACTGACTGACACTACTGATCTACTGTACTTCTACTACTTACTGTACTGAGTACTGAACTGTAACTAACTACTGTTGCTTGTTTAGCTGAGCTGGAGTTAAGTAGCTTAGTAGATTGGGCTTGGGCAGATATGATTCTCAAAATAGTAAGTAGGTAGGCCTAGTAGGTAGATTATTTCATTGTAACTGTATTATAAAAAAATAACTAAATAAGTAGTAAGTAGTAATAATAAGTAAAGTAGAGAACTAGGCAGCAGCATATGAAGTATTATGAAGGGATAGTGTGGTCAGACCCATTTTCAGCCAAAATCGGTGTTTTAAAATTTTAAAGACAAAAACATGTCTGAGTTGGCGGGACACTGGGCATGTGAAGTAGAGTTGATCTGTTTTTGTGACCTCAGCATATGAAGGGATAGTATGATTAGACCCATGTTCAGTCGAAATATGTGTTTTTATAAGACAAGAATGTCTTAGGTGTCACGTCTTTCTGAATGTGGGGTCTGGTTTTTTTGTGACGATAAGCGACAGACTTGGTGTCATTTATGGATGATCCCCCCGAGACCCACAGTTATCCAAGGATAGCAGGTAGTCTAGTATACTTTTATTTTTATAATTCACTAGGTCTAACAATAAGTGTACGCTACGCTGCCACTGAGTTTTAATGGTATAAATTTCAAGACATCCCAAGAGCATTTCATCGCGTCAGCCGGCAACCTATTAAGCTTTCTCCGCACTTTGTCGGCTGATGTCACATGACGTGTAAACACAGTGTTTTTGGAGCTAAAAGAGGTAGAAAAAGCCATATTTTCTTGTGGTAGTTATGATTTTTAAAGTTTTTTTTCAAATTGGGTTGAAAATAACCTGTAAAGAATGGATGTTCAAAGAATTTGGATAATATTTAGAATTAACCCTTTGAATCCCTAGCAGAACGAGCCCCTGGCATGGCCTCAACTAACCGGCGGGCTTGTTGCATTGAGTTAGATTTCATCTGTTTCTTGACCTCGGCAAATGTAGGGATTTTGTGGTCAGCACTATGCATAGCTGCCTTTACTTTCCCTAATGTGAGTCATGTACCCATTAGAGCAAATTGGACTTAATGATGCCGAGATCCAAACTTGAGACTTCTGGTTTCAAGGTCAAGTACTATACCACCCCATCAGGCACATTTTCCTTCCCTCATACCCAGCAGCATACAATACAACTTTTATCCTCGTATCGGGTGTATCCAGTCACATGAATGTATAATTTTTTAGACTAACATATTAATGAAATAAAAACTCAAAACCTCTCCCCGCCTTGGATCTCCCACTGTCACTTAACCATTATTGACTCAATAGACACCATAGGAAAAAAATCTGACTATGATCTAGAAGAACTTAAGAAAATAACAAATAAACACATTAAGGATCAGTACCCCAGCAACACCTGGATTAGAGTTTTCACAGATGGCTCAGCTGAAGATGCCACAAAAAACGGCCGGGCTGGCATCCTTATTGAATGGCCAAGCGGAGAAAGCCTGGAAAAGGCAATAGCCACAGGCAGCCTATCCGACAATTTTAGGGCAGAAAAAGAAGCTTTAGAACACGCAGCAAACCTCCTGTCAGAACACCCTGAATCACCGAATAGTCAGATTGTATTTCTTACAGATGCCAAATCAGTCCTGCAATCCCTACAAAATCCGGAGTCCTATATTCAAACACTTATGACAGCACTAGAGAGGCTAAAAAATACCTGCAGCAGAATTGTGCTGCAGTGGATCCCGGGCCACTGCCAGATCCAGGGTAACGAGATCGCAGACCAGCTGGCAAAAATTGGGGGAAAGAAACCACAACCGGAAATTTCGCTACACCCAAAAGAAATAAAAAGAATAATTAAAAACAAACAAACGCAAATGTGGTCTGTCACACACCCTCACTACATTAAAGACGACGGCTATTACAATTTAACACGAAAACAACAATACATAATCTTTCGACTTAGAACAGGCCACAACAGACTAAAACAACACATGCACAAAAAACTGAAGGTTGGGTGTAGCGAAATGTGCCCTTGTGGCAAGGCCCCGGAAAACACGGAGCACGTACTCCAGGAATGTACTCTGTATAGCCAGGCAAGAGGCAGACACTGGCCCCAGCCCACCCCACTCAGGGAAAAATTATATGGGACACCTGACAAACTGGAAACCACAGTCCGGTTTGTCCACAAAGTTGGACTTGTTGTCTGAATCCTCCACCATATTCAAAAATTAAGAATGAAGAAGAAGAAGAATGAAATCTTACCTTTAATTAGCTTTAGTTTGTGAAGAGTCATGTAATTTTAGAACTTGATAAACTAATAGGACTGATGTAGAGCTAGCTGTAAATTTTTATTGTAAGTGTAAGTAATGTTTTTCAGAGTAATCACCCTACAGTTGAAAAGGCCTATCCCTGCTTTACAACTAACATTTCTTAACTAACTACAAGCAAAACACCACCAGCACCAATAAGAAGTTTTCCTGTCATAGTAGTTATTTGTAAATTTTAATTGTAACACCAACCTTGTCTCTTTTCATGAATTTTGTAGGCCTATATGTAATTCCTTAACACTATGAGCCATTTTCTTATCCCTATTCCTTAACATATAGACATTTACAAGTTCAGTACTATTGTTAGCGTTTCCCATATCTTATACTTACTGTACTACAAGTGGTGGTCACTTTCTGGAGTTATAAACACAATTTATGATGTTTCACAATTTAATTCCAGTACCTACAGATAAATCTCAAGAGTTTCAACAATAAACTTAAAAATTGCTATGGATGTACTGGAGGAAAAATATAAATTCAAGAATCCTACTGTGCTTTTTCTTATATTAATACTCAGTTTTGAAACCAACATTGAAACAGGTTAATGTTTTTTTTAATTACATTTAATAAGATGTTATGGAGTCACAGTAATTTACAATAAAAAAATTTAAATTTATTTAGTGTGTAATGTATCAATAAAGTTGTGTTTGTCAAAGATTATATTTTTTAAATGTTGTATTGTATTTTATTTTTCTCCAGTAATTTTTTTATCAATGAAACTTTTTTATCACTCACAGTGTTTGGTTCTGTTACTAATACACCATCATGGGGACCCATTTCCTTGAAACTAGTCTCTGCATGTGGGACAGAAGCAAAGCTAGAGTGGCAACAAGAAAATCAAGACGCAGCCCAAAACCTATCAGCATTAAAATGTGAATTAACGTACTCACTGTCTGGCAAATCACCTCTAGAGATTGTGGACATTTACCTTGAACAACACACTCACACACTCACCTTGTACAACTTGAGCAAGGGGGAGAACTATTCAGTTTTCATGGCTTGTGATGACACTGTTATCAAAACAAAAGCTTTTAGTTTCATATCTGGTGAGTAAATTATTTGATTTCAAATAGCTCTGTGTTAGATTAAACTGTAGTTGGCAATACGATATTTAACATGATTTGTAAATTAGAATTGTGTAGCATAGGCAATCAGCTATTTGTAAATAGAGTTGAATAATTCTCTTATTCAATTATGTTTAGTGTTGTAAGTCATGGCTGCTAGCAACTACTGTTGATTGTTTAAACTAATGGTAAAATATTTGATTGAATTGAAATAACTGAATAGCTGTACATTACAATTTTCTCATTTCTGTTTTGTAGGTGCACTGTGTGATCATTCAAGCTCCCATGTCAATGTGTCAGATAGTGAAGACAGCAAACTCGTATCAACTTATGCACATACTTCCAGTTACGACACCATAGAATGGCCAATAGCTATTGCATTTGCACTTGTGGGTTTGATCATTTGTGCTGTTGTTGCATTTTACATGTGGAAAAAGTATCAACGACGACAGAGAATTTTAAGAATTTTCAGGTAATAAAAATATACAATTTAGAATAGTCAAATAATTTTTTAATTTCTTCATATTTTTTTAAAATTTTGTAAATAGCAAACTTTCATTCATACACTAAAAAGAAGAAAATAAAAATTAATGTCTTTAAAGCTTATAATATACTATTTTTATAACTATAAAGAAAATAATGTTTCACTGTATTATGTAATGAAAAAGTAAGTAGCTACATCTCTTTATATAAAGCCTACCAATAATTATATGTATGTTAAATTCAGAGTAATCTACTTATATATAAATACACCAGTTTTGAAATACCCCTTAACAAGTTGATTGTACTAAAATTAATAAAATGTTATTAATGACCCATGCTTTTTTTATACAGAGCAGTTATATAAATTGTAGTGCATTATTGTACTTAAAGAAAATAATTTTATTTTCACTATTTTAGGGTACAAATAAAAGTTTGCTTTAATAATTGTTATATACATTTTTTTTGTTTAGAATATTGCATGACAAAAATACTTGTGCCAATATATTTGTGTAAAAGTCTGAAATATTAATACTTTTTATCAATCATTAGTTAATTTGTTTTAATTAATTGAAAATCAGTGTCTAATTTCATGTCACATTGCATTGTCATAGGATTTTTAAATAAGTGTTAAGTTAGAAACAGTTTGGTGTGGTAGAAGTGGTTCACAATATGTTCGCAAGTCAGACTAAAAATCAAGTTAAATAAAATCTCATTAAAAGCTAATAATTAATACCAATATATGAGGTGCTCTCTTTATTTTATGTGTGTCTTGGGGAGGGGCATATGATAAATGAAGTCTCTTTAAAGAAAACACAAAATAACAGTGAATAATCAGCACTTTATCATTGCTTAACACAAATGTCTTCTTTTGTTTTTAAAGGCAAGGTCAGAATGACCCTTTTCAAGCTCTGTATAGTCCCACTCAAGATTCCTACAGCTTCTGACACAAGTGGATACCCGTTTTACACCATGTTTGCTCATCTGCTGCTTGTCCTTGTCTTGTCCAGCATTATGTTATTGTCATGCTTAATACCGCTCCAACAGTGAATCTCATTTTGTTTTCTCTACAATTCTGTACCATTAGGTAAGATTTTAACAAACTTATACTAAAGTAACAATAAAAAAAAAGATCCAAAGAGTTCTTTTAATTGTATTATTGACTATTAAATTGTTTTTTTTTTAAATGAAGATGTAATTCTTAAAACTTCACTGATAAAATGCTCTTTTTTAACAGCTTAAAAACTTTTTAGTTAACCTCACTGGAGTTTTGTTGCTCTGTGTGCATCTTTAGGTACAATGCCATTACATTCCGGTACCCTGTGTTGCAAACTAATTTTGTCTTAACTGTCAGATGATCACTAATTAATGTGCAATATGTCTATTATTTGATTGTAATACAAAACAAGTTTTTTTAACTTGTTTTCTTTTGTTTCCAGTATTTCTATTGCTGTAATGTTGAACATAAAACTGTTAAAATGTCATTGGTCAAAACAATCCATATCAAAGAATTAATTTAAAATATTTTACATGAATTAACTTTGTATTGTTTTTGGCTACTGTAAGGAAGCATTAAAAATCCTCATGGTGTGTTATTAATGATTGATGGCAATTAGTGTCCAATTGATTATTGTACAATATCAGAATCCATTGTAACATTGTTTGATCTCAGCTTTTCTTTTTACTAGAATGAGTGTCTAGTGAAGTGATCTGGTGTACATCAGATCTTTATTTTTGTCTGTTGTACTAAAGACTTTAAAGTCTAAATATAGTTGATCTTGTGATTTTTCTTCATCATTCTGTTGTTATGTCCCTTGTGTTGTGCATGTATAATACATTGTATTGCTGATGTTGTACTTCACTGAAGTCGGATGCAATGGTGATTTCTCTGCATCCTCTCTCCATGTGTGTTTTGTCTTGTGAATTTATCTGTGTTGCTATTTTTTTTTTACTTTTCTAATTGTTTTAAGATTGATAAACAAAACAGACCAAAAAAAGAGAACTCATCTCTTTCATTTGAAGCAAAATTTTTATTATAACTCAGTTTACATGTTGTTTTTTGCAAAGGCATTAGCTTGAATTCTCATTAAATCATTTGTGTATATACATTACATCATTCTGAAATAAATTTAAATTTCTGTTTAACAAATATTATTGCTATTTTCTACATGTAAGAGTAGAATATTCTCTGTTGTATCTAAATCTAATTAAGAGTCACTACTCTTTAATATAGTGTATAAACTAATGTGTGACTTCTAGGTAGGGGAATCTTCAGGTAGAATTTTATGGACACCTTCTAACATTATTTTTTACATCCTGGTTACCTGTTACTGTTAGTAATCTACATGGAGGTTTTGACTGTTATTTTTATTTACAAATGTGCAATATATACACTTTTTTTATTCTACTTTCAAATGCTTTTTTGTATTTATTACATTATTATCAATAGAATTTCCACATCATTTGGCAAAAAGTTTGTGTATTTTAAAAATACTCTTATTATATTATTTACATTTATTTTTATTCACATGTGAATTTAAGAATAATAATATCTTGTAATCATAATTGCAGTTGATTTGTTTACCATATAAAAATTAAATGTGGGGAAAATTAACATTTCTTCAATACCTAGACACAAATCTGTTGTTGAGATTACTATTTTTATTACCTGACACTGACAATACAAGAAAGTATGGGGTTATAGTAGTTAATCTTTATTTAAGTCAGCAGTGCTAAATTTAAGAATCTTAAAGAAGTCATTACAAAAACAATTTTAATCTAATGCCTTTTACTTCTTTTTAATAATGAATATCCAACTGCAAAGAATAATATATTTTGATTTTAGAGCCCACAAAGTTTATTTATTGACACGGACCAAAATTATTCAAACAGGACAGATTGGTTTTAACTGGTTTTTTTTCTTGATCCTCTGGTACTTGGTAGAAAATCGAAATTGTTATTGTCTATCTTTTATAAAAATACTTTTCTTGTGTTGATTTCTCTGACCTTTGTAATTAAAATAATTTGTAAAACCAAAGCTTTAATTCCTGTGTATGTGTCTCGTGTTGAGTACATCAATAAAGATTTTATTTCTAGTTTTCCCAGCTTTTATTTACAATCATTTCTGCTCTCTATACTCACTACTGGTTTATCTAATACAGCGCAATTGTTCAATCTAGTTGTATCTCATTGCCCATCCTTGGCAGCAGACTGCAATGTTAAAACACACACTCACTTTGAAACCTTAATGGAAGCAGAGTGCACCTGTTTCATTGACATCAGCACTATGCCCAGCCACCTTTACTTTCCCTAACATGAGTTAGATACCCATCATGGATGTCTTACTGACTCAAGCCTGGATCCAAACTCAAGACTTTTCGGCTAGCAGTCAAATACTCTATCAGTTGAGCACATCATTTCTTTTTTTAAAGCTTAAGTTTGCTCAAAATACATTAATTCATAATAGGCAGCATACTTTAAAAAGCTAAGTAAATCATACCAAAAAAAAACTGCTTAGGGAGTAGAGTTTTCACTGTTAAGCTAGTTAACTAATTAATGCTTGAGATGATTGTAGACTTCTTGACTGAGATACAGTTGTATAAAAAGTGTACACGTTTAATTAAGTCAAATTAAAAAATCAAGAAAATAAATACTATATACACATTGATATGTGTTATTGTCAGTTGCAGAATGTTATTATTTTTAAACGGTGCATGGATTAAATAATTCATCCAAGTCACATGGTGGGAATGCACGGTGGGGGGGGGGGGGGGGAGAGAGTTGTGAGCAGTGGCAAAATGAAAATGTTTGCCCCAACATAAAACCAGCCTGACACTGAAATGCTCAATTTATTGGGGGGAGGGTGAGTAAACAAAAGTGCCCCGACCTTCATACGATTACAAAATGGCAATTTGAATAAGGTAATCTTAAAAGCACCAATTTGAGATTTTCTAGTATCATTTTTGAAAATTGTGATTGACAATTGATTTAATTCGATGGGTGAAATTGCATGTTATTAATTAGCCTCAAAAATCGTGGTTGAGTGTTTGTTAACGGTGACCTCATGTCATTCTCAACATTAATAATTATTAATATAGGTTCTATTTATTTTTCAGTTTTTTTTTTAAAAATGATGAAGTGTTGAAAAATTATCGAACAAAAACTCGAAAGGGGTCGTCCATAAATAACGTCACACTCTTGGGGGAGGGGGGGGGGGGGAGAGGTCCGTAATTTTGTGATGGTGTGTGATGAGGGGGGAAGGTGCTGATGGTGTGACTTCACACTTTTGCATTATAAAAAAGCAATGTTAGAAAACGAGTTTTAGCCGTTATTACGCGTTTTAGAAAACTGTAACAGGAATTGTAACAGGAATTTATTAAAATACTCAATGTTGACAGAGTTCAGACAAGATTTTGAAAAAATATCGATGTTTTAAGAAAAATTCAATATTGATGGGGGGGGGGGGGGGTTATTGTAGGCTGAAGTGTGACTTCATTTTAGGGGGGGGGGGTCTGGCTTTTTGTGACGATGTATGACGGAGGGGAGGTAAAAATCGTCCGAAAAAGGGTGACTATTTACATTTATGGATGACCCCAACGTTTAGGCCTACGTGTCACGAAATCATTCCAATAATCTCAAGATTTCATCTTCTAACCCTGCTTTCATCGTGAATGCTGACAAGTGAAGCAGATAATGGATTTCGAATCACGTACAGCAGTTTTTTTCTTCTTTTAGCTGAGGTCGAAGTAGCGTCGGAGTTAAACATTTTTCAAGGTCCACAATGCATCATCTATCCCACGCAGAGTTTCTCAAACAAGTCAATGTTTCAAATATGTATTTTTCTCCGCCGTTTTTGCACTTTAGATTTCTTTTTAAAATATGCCTCGAATTCATCGAGAAATTCGATAAAACTTATTCCTTTTCTTTGAAGTTTTAGGTTAAGCCTTTGTTCGAATATGGCTGCTGTGTATACTTTGTCATTAAAGTAGGCCTTTACCTAGTCATGTTTCCCTAGTTCTGAAAGAAAGAAATAACGTGATTTCATGTTTCAATTCAAAGACACGATTGACAACATTTCCTTTCAATTCAACAACCAGGGCACTGCAGTGTAGCCAAGAAGAACCTCGTGATAAGAATGCATGTCTTTGCGAAATTCTATAAACAGACAGGTGTTAATCATTGAAAGCTCCAAAATAGATATCATTTACTATTTTTATCATCTTTCAAAAGAGTCGGATAAATCTTGCCGGCAAATTAAAACAGGAGAATCGACGTGCAGTGGATTTCTCATTATTGGGGAGCTGTATCTTTTTTTAAAAGCACAATTATGACCCAAGCAATTATGGTGCACCGTCCGTACTGTGGCAGGACAAAGTGCCGAACTTGGAACTATGGAGGAAAGCTAGGCAGGAGCCTATTGGTGTGCAAATAAGAAGGAGGAAGTGGCGCTGGGTGGGTCACATACTGCGAAAGGCCCACACAAATGTTACACGCCAAGCGCTTGAGTGGAACCCCCAGGGAAAGCGGAAGAGAGGGCGCCCAAGACAGACCTGGAGGCGGAGTCTTCTTGAAGAACTGAAGCCAACAGGGATGTCTTGGGAGATGTCAAAATTAATAGCCGAGGATAGGAAGAAATGGAAGGAAATGGCGAAGGCCCTATGCTCCATAAGGAGCAAAGTCAAGTAAGGGGTCATCCATAAATGACGTCACACTCGTAGGGGGGAGGGGGGTCCGTAATTTTGTGACGATGTGTGACGAGGGGGAGGGGGGGGGGGTCAGATGTTGCGACGTCACATTTTTGCATTATAAAAAAGCAATGTTAGAAAACGAATTTTAGACGTTATTTCGCGTTTTAGATAACTGTTTTAATAAATTGTAATAGTTTAGACAAGATTTTGGAAAAATATCAATGTTTTAAAAAAATTCAACTGCAATTTTGAGGGGGGTTGTAGGTTGAGGTGTGACGTCATTTTAGGGGGGGGGGGGGGTCTGGCTTTTTGTGACGAAGTGTGACGGAGGGGAGGGGGGAGGTAAAAATCGTCCAAAAAAGCGTGACGTCATTTATGGATGACCCCTAAGTCAAAGTCAAGTCCGTACTAACCCTGCAGAAGTTTTCCAATTTTAATCCTACATTGTCAAAATAAGTATTATTTTTTTCAGAATATATTAACTTTTTGTAACAGTTTCAGCTTCACTACAAGTCTACAAGATATGAAGCCTTCTTTGATATAATCTAAGTGAATATATTCAATATAAGCCTATTTCACGTAGACATGCAATTGAGAACATCAGTGTTTCTTCCATACATCTCTTCGGGGGGGTGGATGGAAATTTTTACAGAAAAAACAACTTCAAGACACTATTAAAAACTTAACAAATTGCATTTTGTTGAATACTTTTGTTTGGTTTATTCTATAAGTTTGTGACCCCCAGAAATCTCTTCGCGGCATTTCTGGGCACTGGGGGGTCTCGACTCTTAGACTGGGAACCCTTGGCAACAAAAATAGAAAGTTAACTCCTGCGATGAAGAGCGGCATGTAAACTATTGCGGTTTCTAAGAGAAAAGAACAAGTAAGGAAATAGAAGAAAATAACAGACTTTATTTATCCCTGTACTGTAGTCTGCTGTATGGCAAAAGCTAAGCTAACACAAGTTTTAAGTTCGCAATCTAATCAAAGTAAAAATGTCCTCTTATAAACTAGAGCATGAAGTATTTGTTTCAGGGCATAATGGCACTAGTTACACTGAAGTAGCAGCAACTACTGCTATTTCATGCATTGCTTGTTTTACTCGTGATTTATTTCTTCTCTCTTCTGCGAGCAAAACCTGGTTGAGGTTGAAGTAAGTGTAAAAGTAGTGTAAAACATATGGCATTCTTCAATATCCCCACAACATATTTTTTACTTGTATATTCCATTATCACACCCTTATTAAATGAACATATTTAAACATAGATTCTAAATAATAAAATATTAGGCCTAATTAATTATTATTAAATAAATAGGCCATATTTAGTTGTTTTTTTTAAATCTTTTCATGGAAAATAATAAATATTAAGCACTAACTAGGGAATATATAATTATAATATATATAAAGTTTATATTTATATATTATAAGCTAAATTTAATAAATTTAGGCCTTTTTCTTAGCCAAAATATTTATTAAATAATAGTAGGCCTAAACTAAGTAAAGTGTAAAATGAAAAAAAAGTAAAGGCATGTACTGTAAAGTAAGGCAAAGCCCTTTGACTTCTGGCCTTTTATTTTTTTTAAAATTGCAGCAAAAATGAAAGGTAATCTATAATTTTATCGTCCATGTCTTGTTGTGTGAAAGAAAGGTGAAACATTAATATGGCTTTAATACAAGTATTTTGTTATATATTTGTGTCAAATATAATATATAATTGAATAATAAACCAAAAGCAATGCCTCACTGTATCAATATAGGCAAGAAATAAAATTTAAACTGCTGTGTTTGAGAGATTAGCTATATTGCCTATATAAACAGCTGCTATCTGTAAATTAGAGTGGTTTCCCCTGAATCTCTGTCTATAATTTAACAAAAAAATAAAACCTAAACAAGATGGCTGCTAAAGTAAAGTAAACAAGCTTAGTTGTATCTGATGACAACATGGCTAATCTTTAATTAATACTGAAAAGTTTTAATAAAATTGTTTAAAAACAGGTACATGAAACATTTTTGTAACTTTTAAAACACAAATTCTCCTAAAAATGTGAAATTATTGCCAAAATTTAATGATTCACCTTTTTTCACATTACTAGTCTCGGACGATTTTATGTACCTAAAACGATCGATTACCAAAAGAAACTTTTATCAAGTAGATCTATATATTGATGCTTTTTGATATTCTACTAGATTTTACTTCCACTTCACTGGAATTCAATGCCACCTAGTATTTAGTTGATTTATGAAGGACAGAAAATCCAGGAGAAAGAATTAATATTCTCTTAATCTTCGTCACGCCCTGTGAAGAATAGGGCAGGATCAAATGTTTGCCATTCCACATTGGGCAAGCATCTACAATTTATGCCAGGTCTTGCGAGTAGCCTGCACTTCTTCTTCCATATCTCTCCTACATGTTCCCAGTGTTCTTCCTCTCCTTCGCTTTCCAGGTGGAGTCCATTTTAGTGCCATGTTTGGGAGTCTTCTTTTGTTCATGCAAAGGACATGACCCAGCTATCACCATCTCCTCATTCATACTTCTAAGACAATGTTGTTTAAGCTATCCTTCTTGGTATTTCCTTGTTCAGGATTTTGGCGTCCTAATTTATCCTGAGAATATGTTGGAGGAATCTTCTTTTAAAACCTCTGAGGCGGCTCTCTACTTTCTTGTTTAGTGGAGTACAGAATGTACATTAGACATGTAAATCCTTATTTTGGTTCTCTGCTGCAGTGAGGATGATTTCCAGATCTTAGCAAGTCTGTTGAAAGCCTGTGCTGCCATTGCTATTCTAGTGGCTGTTACACCCTATTGATATATCAATATTGAATAAAATATTTATTTATTGAATATTTTAGTAATTTTAGTTAATTGATTAGGAAAATACTTCACTTCTGAACTAAATTAATTTTTTATCTTCATCTTAAAAATAAATCTGACATAGTGTGATTATTAAGTACTAAATTAATATTTGTTGTGTCTTTTTCAGACCAAGAATTTTATCTGAGTTTCTGATACTGATAGTGTGATTATTAAGTACTAAATTAATATTTGTTGTGTCTTTTTCAGACCAAGAATTTTATCTGAGTTTCTGATACTGATACTTCCTAACATCTTAAGTGTAACAGTGTTAAGTGATAACATTATTCCTTTTTTTGTTTGTTTATTGTCAATAAGTGTTGCCTACTGCATTTATTTAATTAAATCTCTTAAACATCAAAATATATCAAAGACACTGTATTCAGCAAATTTAGATGATAAAAAGGCATTTATTACATACTTTAGATCAGTCATAAACATTTGCACAGCAGTGGCAATACTAGCTGTAGATTTCCCAGTTTTTCCTAGGCGGCTAGCTAAAACAGAGATTTATGGGTTCGGAGGGATGGATATTGGAGTTGGACTGTATGTAGTCGCTAATGCCATAGTGAGCCCTGAAGCAAAACAGAAACCTGGCTCATCTGCACCAGTGTTGTCTCAAATGGGAAAGTCCATCATTTCATCTATACCTTTGATAGTGCTAGCTTTTGCAAGACTGATTGCAGTGAAAGGAGCAGATTATCATGAACATGTAACAGAGTATGGGGTCCACTGGAACTTTTTTTTCACCATTGTTGCTTTGAAAGTAAGTTGGAGCAATTTTTAAAATAATTTCTCCTCTTATACAAGAACCTTTCTTCTTAGCACTTGCTGCATTGAACAGAACAGACCTTTAAAAATACCAGATATTGTTCATTATAGAATGCTAGTGTTTTAATGATTATAATATGTTAAGTATAAATTGTAATTTTAGATGTAGTTAAGTAAATAAAATAAAAAATTATTTTAATTTAAACAATAATATATTGTAGATCTATAACATATTTAATATAATGAGATCTTTGATCAGTTAAAAAAAAATAGTCGTTCATTTAGTGAATTCATTCATCTTTTCATTATTTGTCAAGCATCTTATAAATGTTTTATCATGGTAATGAGATTCTTAATTGTTTTAGACTTTTTTATCTTCTAGATTCTGCTCACCCTGATGTATTGCATAATACCGATACAACTCTCAACATACTTTGCTGCGGCAATCTTACTTGTACATCAACTGTTTCTTTCAAGAGGTAACTCAGACTACATAGTAAATGGTTTGAATGGAAGAGGAGGAAGAGAGGGACTAGTGGACGCTAACAGAGAAGGCATCTATTCATTGCCAGGATACATTGTTATTTACATGCTTGGTGTAGGACTTGGAAAGCTTTTGTTCCAAAAGAGGTTGGTTGATTTAAAACTAATTTATTACTTTTCCAAACAGCTATTTTTTTTTAGAGTTAGAATAAATGCTAATTGTTTGGACAACCAGTAATTATTTAATTTTTACCACTCAAAACTAAATATTAAAATCAAATCAAGACAAAAATGCTGAAATAAATATACTATTTTATTTTTATAACCTTACCTATTTTAGGTTTGTGTGTTATAGAAATAATCATTTTTTGTCACAGAAACAATTTGAAAGATTGGCTAGATGCAGCTAAGCAGATAGCAGTGCTATTTCTGTTATTTTTAACTTGTTTATTGTTGACACATCAAGTAGTAGAGCCAGCTTCAAGGCGTTTTGCTAATGCAGCCTTTGTATTTTGGGTGGTAAGTCTGTCTGGTGTTTATTGTGTTATCAGTTTAAAATAGTTTAAATAACCTTAATTTAATAAATACAGACGTTATTTAGATATTCTTTAAGTCTGTTTAAGTACAAACTCATTGGATTGATCTACACATTTATTACATTAGATTGATGTGGTTTATTAAAAATAATGCCTTTGTTAATTTTATCTCTGTTAACAATAAAAAAAAAGAAATTGATTTCTGCCTTTAAATTTTACATCTTTTGATGAATGGTGTTAGCCCAGTGTTAGGATACCAAATTGACTACTGGTCACAATTAGATTTTAATATTGTTTCCTAGGATAGGGCACAAGCATTCTACCTCCATCTAATGTTTATTTATTTGAGAGAACTGAAGACCATTTTATTCTGTAGTCTTAGTTTTATCTGCAGACTGGGGAGGTAGTTACTTATGTTTCACTGTGTATTCCCTGATGCAAATTGTCAAATACTATTTATTTCTCAGATGAACCTAAGCTGCTTGATGATCTTGTTGTGTTTGCTGGGTGAGATTGCCACCACATACATTAAAGCTCTACAGAAACAAAATACTTCTAAACAATTGGGAAAATCTTTGCTCAAGAACTCATCAGATCAAGCAATATCAAAGAAAGATCAGCAGAGGTCCCAAAATGACCCACCTCTGTTCAATGTGTGTATGATGGAGGCAGTGGCATTCAATTCTCTCTTGTATTTCCTGCTTGCAAATCTCATGACAGGTGTAGTTAACATGACAATCTCAACCCTACACACATCTGATATATCTGCTGTTGCCATTCTTGTAGTGTATATGTTTGCTTTATCAGGCATTATTGTTTTCTTCAAGTCTAAAAATATTTCTACCAAAATATGGTAGTTCAAAAACGTACTGCTAATTGTTGAAATATCTATGCAATATTGAAATACATGTTACAAACTAATCAATAATCATTCCTTTTTTAATATTGTATGTTTTGACATTCAGCAACATGATTTCACAGTTAGTAGTGATTATAGTAATGAATTGTATCAATTTATTGTTCTCTAGAACCAATGCTATGGTTAGTAATGTTAGAGTACAAAATATGTTTCACTATGTGGAACTGTACAGTGAATATAATTTATAAACAATTCAAACTCATTGAAACCATTTTTATTATAAATATAACATTTTATATATGTAAACATGAAAAACATGTTTTTTCTTTTAGATTAGTGAACACTGCAACAGAATTTTATAAATTCCATGGCAGTTACTTTCCAGTTTTTATTTAAATTAAATTTATTTGGAATTTAGAATCCAACAAGTTTGAAAAACCATTCTAAAAATGAATTTAAATAACAAAGAAAGTTTGTTCCTATAAAAATTGTGAAAAGATGTAGGCTTATTTGAAAAATAGCATACATCCAATAATGATTGTAATAATGTTTGCATAATGATTTCATAGTATCTAAAATAAACATTTTACAATGTAAATCACAACACATTTTATCACAATTTTTGTCAATAAAAATATTATAACTTGGACTTTCTCATATTATTCATGAGTTTTTCCAATTTCATCGCTGCTTTCAAATCTCCTTTAATTTTAAGTTTTCCAGACATAAAGGCAGTTGTTGCACTTGCTTTACCAGCAAACATGTCCAGGAATAATTTGCTGTCTAAGGTCATATTGCAATCTGCATTTTCCAGTGGTCCTTGTCCTAATGAGCCTGAGCCATTTTTCAAGTCGAGGAACCAAGTGCCACTGTTATCACCTAAAATAGATGGGGAAAATAACTGGTTCAAAGCATTTACAAGAAAAGTTTTTTTTCAATATTTTTGGTACAATAATGTTACTGTCAGAATGTTGGGAAAAATCTTGTGAGAAAAATAGACCATTGATGGTCCAGTCTAAATAACATTAGGTATGGTAGAGTCTAGTTACAGACTGATATAAAAAGAATACATTTCCCATAAGTATACCTATTTTCATGTATGAAATATTGTAGTAGGCCTGGTTTAAATTACAATAATCGTATTGCCAATGTAGGAAAAGTGAGTAGATTAGAAACAATGTTTTTTTGCAATTTGAATATTATAACCAATATAAGAACATAAAGGGAGTGTATAGTAGATGTCTAACCCTGCAGTAGCTAGCCTTTTTTACTTTTATTTTATTACCTATTATGCATTCAACAATACTTAAGTATTGAGTTACCTTCTATTTCTACTAAAATGGACTGGAAATCTTTTAACCATGTTGCTTAAAAGTGCAGGCTACATAAATAACAAGGTTAAGTGACAAGTCACCAGTCAAAATGAAAACACTTCTTCTTCTTCGTTCTTAATTATTAGTGTTGAAGGGGATCGAGATTTATCTGCCAGTGGGTTTGAACTTGAGACTGTTCGAATTTATCAACCATGAGCTTTTTTGCCGACTCGACCACGCCTTCAACACAATTAAGCGTTACGTGTCAACTGGTTATGCTCCATTGAGGCCATTGACTCCGATTTCAGCCTGCTTTTCTTTTTGGATTTGCTTCCATAGCCTTTGTCCAACCAAGAACAAACTGCAAGACAGCAGTTGTTTGATTTTGGAGTTGTCTCTCCTAGAAGAGTGGCTGTCCCCAGCTAACGAGCCTCATCTGCCCGAGGGTTCGAACTCGAGACTTTTCGGTTTAGCAATCATGAGCTTTACCGACTCGACCACGCCATCCCCTAATGAAAACACAATTCTTACCACTTAAATCAAACTGATAACTTGCTTTCATGTCTTTGACCAAATCTTCAGATAAAAGACTTTCTATTTGTTTGAATGTCTGTGCCACACCTGATGAAGATTCTTTAGGGCTAGCTTCAGTCTTTATTTGACTTTTTATAGCTGCTGCATCGGTGTCCAAGAAAAAGTCTGGCAACAAGGTTTTCCCTACACAAAAATTAAAAACATGGATTTAATTTGTATCAGTTGAAACGTTATGATTACTACACATATGCGTTTCAAACAGTTATCTGATTCTATAAAATAGTTGTACACATTTATTTGACATAGGTGAGTTTAAATTAGGCGGCTCACTTGTATTATAAAATTTGGAAAGAATTACCTGGTACACAAGCATAATTTTCTATGTCGCTGTCACTGACACCAACAGACTTTAAAACTTCATCATCAATGAAAAAGTTACCAGTGCATTTGCGACTCTCTCGACTGAAAATTACATAGGCTGCATCACTCATAATGTCAACTTTCCTGCATTGTTCTTTGACTCCACTGCCCCCACCAATCATCTCCATTGCTGCTGTCCATATAGCTAAAATAAATATTGAAGGCAATAGTCTATGACATAGAAAATAATACAACTTTTTAAATATGAACTAATTTAACTGTTTGTATAATGGTAGTTAAAAATCTAACCTGTACGTGGCCATAGGGCATTTACAGCAACCCCTTGATCACGAAATTCCTCTGCCATACCCAAAGCACACATGGACATACCATACTTAGCCATTGTGTAAGCTGTATTAATTCAAAGAATAAATCCTAGGTTACTGCCAAAACGAGTAATATAAATTGTATTACAGATTAATATGATTGAACTTTAATTAAATAAAAAAACAGATTTCAGCTTCAAATTGTGTGCACAACTTACCCACATGGCCTGCAAACCATTTGGGTGACATGTTCAATGGTGGACTGATATTAAGTATGTGTGGATTTGGGCTTTTTAACAGGTATGGCAAACAAGCCTGGGAACTAAAATAAAATGAGAATTTTTAAAAATCAAGTTATCATTTTTTTTAAATAGGTGGAAATTAAGTATATTCGAGTTCAAGCAAAATAATTACAAATATTCCTTCAAATTTAGAAAATAATTTTATAAAATTTGGCTTACGGTTGCAGACAAAAGATTTCCTTTTCAGTGAATCTACAAGCTAGTTTCATTAGAAGATGGATAGAACCATTAAATTATAATTTATTTTAATCATCATGTTATATTTTAAATTTTATTGTGAATTTCACAAACCATAAGTATGTTCCTCGAGCATTGACTCCATTCATAAGGTCATATTTCTTCATTGGTGTTGCCAGGGTAGGTGTCAGAGAAATAGCACTAGCGTTGTTCACTAGGATATCAATGCCACCAAACTTGGCAACCGTTTGCTTGACCGCCTCTTGAACTTGCTCTTCATTTCTGATGTCCACAATACACGGGAAACCCTTACCTCCAGCTTTATTCACTGTTAACAGATGAGGTTTACTTAGTTTGTTTGGGTTCAAAATTTTTAAACTGTTGAACTTAGTAATCTGCATGGTATTGTACAAATAAATCAGTCTCACTAAAATGCATTAACATTAAAAATGTCAATAAAAAAGAAAAAAAAACTACGTTTTTAAGTTGGTATTTCTATGATGGCTAACAAAGCATCATTTGGCGCATGACCTTCCAGTAAAAGGTCACAGACGAAGGCACAAGAGTTCCAAAATGAACTTCAACTGCCACATTTTCGTGACCACTGCAAGCCACCCAGATCGAGGCATCCGGCTGTGGTCAGGCATTGAGAGGAGTCGGCACCCCCATGTGACATTTCACAACACTCTGTGGTGCCCCAAACAAGGGATAAGGGATGATGAAGATTTTTATTTTAGATTTCTATGATCACTATCAGAAAGTATCAAAGCAATTTTTTGCTGTTATGGGTGGTACTATTGCCTTGGCCCTTGTCCTAACATTGAACCCTAGCACTGGACACAAATATGAACATAATGATAATGGCATTTAAAAAAAAAACCTAAATGGTCCGACAATGTGTAGTGCCTTATGAGAAATCATTATAAAATCAGCACACATAAATCTTAATACCTTCTTCAGCTGCTGTATAAATGGTGCCTGGAAGTTTTGGATGTGCTTCAGCAGTTTTTGCAGCAATGACAACATTTGCACCATCCTTAGCGACTTTCAGTGCAATCGCTTTCCCAATCCCCCGACTGGCTCCAGTAATAAAGACAGTTTTGCCTGCAAGTTTACTAAAATTTAAACAGTTGATTAATTTTAATACAATTTTTTTACTAAAAAATACTAAAATTAAACATCAAAATAGTCTACTACTCTCTATAGGCCTAACATTTTTTTTATTCTGCTCCAATCTGTGTAGGACATCCAAGTGCACCCAAATTAAAGGCCACGGGGTATAGACATAGGTAAACTCTAGATCTAGATTTAGATTCTACATCATTTGCCTCAGTGGTGGTTGGGGGGGGACGTTCTGACCGGGATTCAAAGGGTCGATTCTAAATATTATCCCACTTGAGATCTCTCTTTAAACTTTAAAACATTTTAAAGAATAATGTCTACTCAACTCTATAGTGAGTCTATAGGCTACACTATACTATACTATACTATAAATAGCAATAGGTAGGCCTAATTGTTTTTATTAATAGGCATATGGCCTATGGCCTATAGTCTATACTATTATTAATATTTTAATATTACAGTAAAAATTAATGTTCAATGGCCTACCCAGTATTTGCTGCCATAATTAAAAATTCAACGCAGACTTTGTGTTTGTTGATAAATTGTTTGGTTAAGTAATAAGTTGTGATCTAGGATGAAGTCAAGTAGCTAGACTCTAATAACTGACAAATACGACGAACTAGAATCTAGATCTAGCCTAATCTAATTTTGTGTTGAGTTTTGATATGAAGTGAGGTACCGAGGTTCGGTTCAGAGTTCTGCTAACGACCTTTGGACTTTTGAACTTCTCTTAGATCTAGAGTATAGATCTAGATCTAGATCTATATCTTTTATACTTAAAAAACTGCTTTTAAAACTGGTTAGGCTACCTAAGCTAAAATATTAGTACTACACCAACATCATATATATAGTCTAGTAAAATAGATCAAATCTAGGTTTTTAAAACATAAATACAATCCTTATCACCCGAGGAATATTTAATATTTATTTAGATCTTGATCTAAATCATAGTCTAGATCTAGAATAAAATTATATTTTAAATTCGAGAAAAACGCGAATCACTTTTTTTTTAAAAGAACAATTTTACAGACGGATTTCCGGTGTCTACAGTAAACAAAAACAGGAGTTGAATTTTTCATTAAAGTACAATACTAATCCTAGATCTACGTAAAATATCTATATTCTAGGAACTATTTAGTATAATATCTAGATCTATATAGATCTAGATCTATTCTTAGGTTGAAAAAAATCCTAATTAAAGATGGGATGCGATGGTGGTACGATTCCTAAGAGAGACGAATTAGTAAGAACAAAAAAGAAAGGAGAACAGGTAAATTTCTTGAAAAACGCTTTCTTTAATTTTAATTTAAAATTAAATTAAATTTTAAAAAATTGAAACTTTTGAAATTGCACTCGTCAAAGATATAAAACAAATGATACTCAGGGATATTAGTAATATTAAATATTAGACTGTGACTAACGCCCTAACCTAACAACGTTATGGTAAAACTCCATTTTAGCATATTTTATTCGCTGCTTCATGTTCACCTCCGGTTGAGCGTATTTTATTATAAACACAACCGAAACACACAAAAAATGTTAGGAAAACACTAGGTTTAGAGCTAGATCTACTTATTTTTTTTAAGTGACTACGCGTCTCGCAGAGTGTGGCCCCTAAGGAATAGACTACGCGTCTCGCAGGTTGGATTTGCCATCTTATAGTTGAAAATGCTTATTTTTTACTTCTCTATCACATCCGGTGTGGTTGAGTCAACAGTGTGCCAGCTGTAGACTGTAGTTCAGAGACACGGGTTCGAACCCGGGTTGGCACGACCGGTACTAGAATGAACACAAGTTCACGAGATCATCTGTCTTCATTTCTCTCTTCCTCCCATCCCCCACAAGCAAATTGAAATTTTTTTTTAAGTTCACATAGGATAAAAAAAATAGACTTAGATCTACTATCACGCATGCTAGATAGCTAGGCCTAAAGGTTAAAGGACAGTTTCATTTAGCTAGATTGCTACTAGATCTAGGACTATCATCTGACCCACTTATTGACACTACACTACTGTTTTTTTACAAGTACTAGACTCTTAGGTGTTGAAATAATATAGAATCTAAATACACGCAAACTCGATCTAGAGCTATGTCAACATTAAATTGTTACCACGAAAAAAAAATGGGCAGTCCTGATATCTTTTTTTTTAGAGCGCGTGCCATCTAGGGTAAAGATTAAGCGGAACGCTGAGCGAAGTGCGCAAGGGCGGTCTTACGCGTAAAGCGGCGCTAACCGTGCAAATGCTGCCTATTTTTTTGTATGAATAAAAGTTTTAATTAGAAAAGGTAGCCTAAAAATCATAAAAAAAGCATTAGGCTTAGGTAAGACAGTTCCAATTAAATAGCCTATGGTCATCAGTGTGATCGTCAGCAGGAGAAAAATTCCTACACAGTCGAGGGTTCACCATGAGTTCACATTGAATTTAATTTTATCAGCAAACATCATAGCTTGGGCAATTGCTATATGAAATTGTGGTGGACTCAGTTTTGGGGGTCATCATGAGTTCATAAAAGTTTATTTATAGTATCATGCATGGGAGATACCTGTAACAATACAAACTTAACCGCCTTGCAATTGTGAGTTTCTTACTTAACCCATTGCCATGAAAAGCTTAACTGATACATGAACATGGCACATTCAATATTCCAAATTAGGATTTTTCTCAAGACAAGAGTCAATTATCAAAAAGCTAAAACAAAATTCATAAAGAAATAAGCCCAATGTTTTCCTAACTTTTTTGTGTGTTTTGGTTGTGTTTATAATAAAATACGTTGAACTGGAGATGAACATGAAGTGGGGAATAAAATAAGCTAAAATGGAGTTTTACATAACAGTACTACTACTACTAACCTAAATATTAAACTATGAATCTAAATTCTGATGATTTTAGATTCCAATGTCCGATAATAGACTCTTCCATAAAATAGGTGTGTTGGGTTAGTAACCTAACACCCCTTTTTTAAAGAAGATTCTATTATCGGACACTGTTATAAAAATTCCCCCTTAATTCTAACGTTTGTTGTCAAGCTGAAAAAATAATTCTCTACCAGTCCAGTAGGCTATTTTTTCATCAAATAGTAACAACAGGATAGGCCTAGATGGCCTAGAATTAATTTGATTCAAAACACTCAAAAGAAAAAATAAGATAACTGCTGTAACTCAAGTTGAAAATAACTATGCCAGGCAGTCAAATAAATTGGTTCAAGGGGCAACCATGTATTTTATTTTTAGTACTTCCCTCTAGTGCAAAATACAACTATTTTTGGTTAAGTATTTATATAGGCTATAGGAAAACTATTAAAACATAGGTCTAGGCCTATATAATAAAGAAAAAAAACCAAATGAAGAATAGTCTTTAGTAAAAAGAATAGTTAAATGTCATTCATTTTAAACTATTAATTGCTTTTTACTGCTGCAATTGTTTATTATCTTACCTTTCTGTTATTTTTCTCTGTGTTCAGAAAGATAAAACCTCAGAACTAGCTTTTAAGTGGAAGCACTGTGCTATAAGTCAAGAAGTTTTGGTCAAACCAATTGTTGCCTGCGAACTTGGAAGGTAAACTTAGATTTAATATGTGCATCATATTCTAGATTAAATAAATTAAGTAGTTAAACCTAAACAAGAAGATTTTCTGTTGTTGAAATCTTCACAACATTGGTGTTTTTTTTTTATATCTGTGGTCAAAGTTTCTCTGTTGGTTTTTTGAACTTTTAGCTTCTTTATATAATTTGTTTTTTTCTTAAATTACTTTTTTTTTTATACAGGCTCTACAACAAAGAGTCAGTACTTGAGTTTCTACTTGACAGAACTAAGTTTGATGTAGCTTCTCAGTTTGATCATCTCAGAGGCTTAAAGGCAAGTATCAGTTACTTATCTTTTATTCCAATTTTAAACAAAGTAATAAATCAGTTTCTATAAAATCTTCCTTTATCTATTGTATTACAGTATTAGCCTTGGAAATTCAGCTTGTATTTTCTCTCATTTCTTTTCTTACTTGGTTATTTAATTTTAGGATATTAAGGAGTTAAACCTAACAGACAACCCTGAAAGTAAATCAAGAGATCCAGAGAAATGTGATGGCTATTCAGATCCAAGCATTTCCGACTTCATTTGTCCAGTAGTAGGTTTGGAGATGAGTGGAACTTTCAAGTAATTATGTTTTAAAGTTTTCTTTGGATTGTTTTAGGTAGCAAATAAAATCCACTTGTTATTAATACCGATATTAGCAAATGCTGTAAATTAGTGTTTATTTTTAGATTCTGTTTCTTGTGGTCATGTGGCTGCGTCATTTCTGAGAGGGCTTTAAGAGAAGTGAAGACTGAAACCTGTCATAAGGTACATAATCAAATTGATTTTTAAATATCACAAAGTTTTTTTATTTAGTAGTTAAAACAAAAGACATAAATAAAATGTGAAATCCCTTCTCATTACGTTAGTTAATTTAAACTATCATACATAATTTTTTAGCAGTACAAATATAAATATTTTCAAATTTTAAATTCTATTATTAAATTTTTTAATTAGTGTGGTAAAGTTTATCAAGGAGAAGACGATGTTGTCATTTTGAATGGATCTGATGAGGAAGTTGTGGAAATGAGGGCCAAAATGGAAAGACGACGAGCAGCTGCTAAAGTTTCAAAGGTGACAGAAAGGACATTTACTTGGCCAATGTTATCATAGAAATTAATTTGTAATTTTTAATCAATAGATTTGTTATACTTTTTATTATTTGAGTAGTTTAATGTCATTATTTAATTTACAGATTTCCTATACTTATTTTATTATTTGAGTAATATAATGTTATTTATGTGCACTTGAAGTAAAAATTGTTCAATATAAAGTGTTTTATCTAATCTCACAGAAAACTAAAAAAGCAGTGAAGCACAAATTGCCTGAACCAGCTTCAGAAGGTATAGTAGAAAACAGTTTAAAAACTTATTGTAGTTTAGTTTATCTGTGTAAAAATCATTGGCTGGTCTTTTTCAAAATCAGATACATAAAAGCGAAAGAAAGGTGTATGCATTATTTATGTTAATGAAGTCATTGATATAGAAAAGTTTTAAATCAGCAACTGTAAGGGGTCAATTTGGTGGTCGAGTAGATAAAAGCTCATGGTTGCTTAACCAAAAAGTCACTAGTTCAAACCCCTGTTCAGATGAGGCTCGATAGATAGGGACAGCAACTTTTTTTAGAAGAGACAACTGCTGCCTTGTAGCTTGTTCTTGGTTGGAGAAAGGCTATGGAAGCAAATCCAAAAGGAAAAACAGGCTGAAATTGGAGTCAACTACCTCTAAGACTCATAACAAGTTGACACGTAATACTTAATTGTGTTGTAGGGAATCCCTGCCTAAATAAAAAATTAGGAACAAAAAAAAAAATGAAGAAGCACCAGTAACTTTGTTATAGTTACTATGTTATATTACTTATATTGCTTCTGACAAAATTCTTTAAGTGTATACTTCAATGTATTTTTTAAAATCATAAACCAGGTGAAATTGCTTCAAAAAAGACCTGTGAGGATACCCCATCATCCTCTTCCTCATCCTCACCACAAAGTCAGAAATCCAAACTTGTAAATGGGCTCAACAAAGATGGGGCTAGTAGTAAGACTGGTGTAGGGAGACTCATCACAGCCAATGGGAAGCCAGCCACTGACAAGGGAAGTAAGCTGAAGACCAGCACCATTCAATCAGATCCCAAAACAAGCAAGACATTCAAATCTTTATTTACCACCTGTGAAGATGCCAAGAACAGAAAAGTAGCCCATTGGGTCACTTACAATCCCTTATATTATTAATAATTTTCTTTCAGGCCAGGGTTTCTTTCTTGAGCTCTAAACACAAATATTTAAACCCTTAAATATCTCATTAAAAACTGAAAATGTTTACTGTGAATAAAATATTTTTGCAAATTTTTTTTTTTACATTTGAGCAACGCATTATGTTTATTGTTCTTGTTATGCTGATTTTACCCTCACAATTTAAATTTATAACTCCAATACCATAAATTCATAAAAAATAGGTAAAGAATTTTTTTAAAGAATAACAGGCAAAATTCAGCATCCATATTCTAGGATTTTTTAAAAACTTTGCCAAATTAATATTTTTCTGGAATAAAAGTGTTGCACATTGAAATATGTTTGTTTCTTTTTGATTAAATATGTATTATATAATCTTAATACAGTGTCTATTTACCAACTGTACAGATGTTTTGAAAATAACCCACCTTTCTCATATACCAATGTTTAATACGATTTTATGAAAATCAGTTTTATCAACAGAAGAACACAAAAAATGTGATGATGCAGATTGTTAATTCAAAATTAATAAGTTTATTTTTTAATCATAGCTAGATAATACATATATTAAATGCATTTTGAAAGTAAAGTCATTGTTGTGTTTGCATAGAAGTAACAATCTGTTAAAGGCTTAACCTAAATAACACTCATATGTTTTACAATAATACAGATACCGGATATTTCTTTTTGTTAGTCTATATAAACAGTTCCACATAACAAGATGGAAACAAATTACACAGGAAATTTTAAACAGAATAACAGGTTACATATAAAAATTAAACACAAGTCAATCAGTATACTTATTATGTATAAAATGTTGATTGAACAATAAGCCATTTAAAAACCATCACCAGTTAAAATTGCATTCAGTGTTCTCTGGATATTTCTAGGCTTTCAAAACATTTTAAAATGCTTACAGAAAGCTCACAGCAATATTGCTAACTTTTTAAATGTTTAGTAAAATCTCTAATTTTCTAATATTCAACTTTTCTTAAAAATTAAAATGATTAACTTTATAGTTTTTAATAAATATAACCTAATCTTCAGCCAAACTATAAAAAAATCTCCCAAACCAAAGTGCTAACACTATATTGCAATCACACAATAGAATCGATAATAAGGACATATTTGTTGTTTAATAGCCCTTTGATTCTGAAAGAACATTAAAAAGTAAAAGTAAACTATGATACAAGAAGAAAAAAATCAGTATATCACACAGTAAGAAAACAAAAACAGGAAGAAATATTTGAATGTACAATGACTTTAGGTACCTTGTATATAAAGCAAATGGTCTAATTACATGAGGAAAAAAATCAACAAAGTAGATTTAAAAAAAAAAATCATAAACTTAAGTAACCTAATACATTGAGTAACACAGCTTTAGCTGGTGGCACACCCAGTGATATTCTAGGGCAGGACAAAGTTGTATTGCTTTAAGCAATGAGTATTTATAAACCAGATGTTCACAAGGATCTTATTTGTTCACGTTAAAAAGGTATACTCACCCTAAACACAAACATTATAAATTTTATTATTTAACTCGAGTTTCTTTTCTAAAGTATTCTTGATTCTACTTTGATCCTTCTTCTGTTTTTAAATTCTAAATGTCAGTATTGATAAATAAAAGAGATGACTATTGCAATGATGGTCAGCATATAATAACATGATATGGAATTACAGAATTACTGCAGAGCACCAATAAATGTAGTATAAAATGAATGAGTTATGTGAGGAAAAGAAGTAGAGCAAGTGGGTCAAAATAACTTAAACCAGTCTATAACAGTCAGTATTTCGTAACCTCGAGATCTTTTAGAAATATTTCCGTGTACTAAAAGTCAATGTTTTGTAAACTCAATATATTTTTTAAATATTTCAATCTAATGAATATGTATGTTCTAAAAAACATTAAGGTAACTGTTCTAAAGTTTTTAAGTAAGTTCAACCATACAATTTTGAAATACATGCTTAATTTTCTGTTTAAAAATCATTTTTCTTCAATGAGTTTGTCAAATGTTGATGTATGATGTTTTGAAAACAGGTAAACTCATGATTTAAAAGCCCATCAAGTTATTTATCACATTAAAGAACTGCAGCACTTGATAGAGAATTAATATTATAATTAGGTGTGATAAAAGACAAGTATGATGATACTGAATATTATGGGAACATACATTGAATTATGTCAGGTGTGAAGTTTAAAAATATTTTGCAGAGAATCATGCAATCACACATGTTCAATAATTTACTAATTTGTTACTGTTTATGATTTTAAACTTACAGAGTGTGTCAATACCTTTACAAATCTGATTACATTTTTTAAGAATCTCTTGAGCATAAATATTTTTTAAAGAAAACCCCTACAAACACAACTAATTAAAATCTTCCAGTGCAATAATTTACTGTCTATTTGTTCTTATATTATAATATTAGTTCAGCTATGTATTTTAGGAATACATTTTTTCTTTTATTAATTAGTCTATGTATAAAAATGTTCTTAAGCAGCTGACCAAATTAAAGAACGTGAAGAAGAAATTCTTAGAAAAACTGACCTGATACATCCAGAACAAGATTAGAATTGTACAAAAATGGGGACAAAGGTTTGTTCCCACAATAGAAGCAAAGATCACACACATTGAAATATAAACCATTATGTCAAAGCACTTTTAAATATCTCTTTCATTAATTGCATAAACAAAATCAACTGTATTCACCATTTTTAGAGGATAAATTTAATTAACTATAATTGAATTAAATTATACTAATTGCTTCTAATTTTTAATTTAACTAATATCAAGCTGCAGTTCTAAATACTCAGCAGTTAGGTTACACAAGAGATATTGCACATCCATAAATGATGTCTTGCTCCTGGGGTGAGGTGGATGGGGGTTCAGAATTTGTCATTTGGGATGAGAAAGAGTAACATAACAACACAATGACATTTTAAAAAGAAACTTTAGCAGTAATTTTACATTAAAAATATTGAACTAAAAATTCTTCAATACACCTGGTCTTGAATCAGGTTAGTTAATATTTGAGGGAAGAAATTTCTGTTACAAAAACAAAATGCTAATGAAGTGGTAGGGAAAGGAGGCTGAAGTATGACCACAAGGAAGGGTGTGGGGGGGGGGGGTGATTTAAAAAAAAATGAATGACATGATTTATGGACAATCATTTAGCTTAAAGTATATAATATAGCTTAAAATTTTTCTAATATTTCATTATTAGTTTAAAATTCTTATTTCTTTTTTTTATTACTTTTTTGTTATATGTTGAACCTCTGCACATAAACTTGTACACTTAAAAGTACATATGTAAAATATATATTAGAAAGTTTAGAACAAAAAAAAAGGTATTCAGAGAAAAATACATCAGATATATCACTGTGATGATAGAATAAATATAAATTATCCATTGCCGTATTGCAATGGTACCAGATAAACTGTCTTTCAATTTATGATACACTAGTCTAGAAATATACTGTTAACAATACCACACATAAAAAATAAATCAGTAGACAACATTCATTCTATATGTATATCTATCATACAATGTAAACTATAACCAATTTCTCACTTTCTTAACACAATAATAAGCCTATGCAATTTCAACAAAACTGTTTCTAAGGCCCTTTCATTGTATTTCTTGTCTGTGGTGGGTAAGCTTGAAAACCATAGGGGCAGAACTCACAGAATCCAGGTGGGCCAGGAGGGCCAGGTGCACCCCTATGGCCATGGCTACCAGGCATACCTGGTAAACCTCTCTCACCTGCTCTTCCTGGCATGCCTTCTCCCGGTGATCCTGGTGGACCTGGAAATAAAAGTTATCAAGTAGAACGTCATCAAATTAATGTTTTCAAGAAGAATATAATCAGGTTAAAGTTTTAAGTAGAGTGTCATCAAGTTATTGTTTATGTATAGTGTCAATAAGTTAATGTTTTATATATAGTTTCATTACGTTAATGTTTTATGTATAGTGTCATTAAGTTAATGCTTCAAGTAGAGTGTCATCAAGTTAATGTTTTATGTAGAGTGTCATCAAGTTAATGTTTCAAGTAGAGTGTCATCAAGTTAATGTTTTATGTAGAGTGTCATCAAGTTAATGTTTTATGTAGAGTGTCATCAAGTTAATGTTTCAAGTAGAGTGTCAGCAAGTTAATGTTTTATGTAAAGTGTCATCAGGTTAATTCTTCAAGTAGAGTGTCATCAAGTTAATTCTTCAAGTAGAGTGTCATCAAGTTAATGCTTCAAGTAGAGTGTCATCAGGTTAATGTTTTATGTAGAGTGTCATCAAGTTAATGTTTCAAGTAGAGTGTCATCAAGTTAATGTTTTATGTAGAGTGTCATCAAGTTAATGTTTTAAGTAGAGTGTAATTAAGTTAATGTTTTATGTAGAGTGTCATCAAGTTAATGCTTCAAGTAGAGTGTCATCAAGTTAATGCTTCAAGTAGAGTGTCATCAAGTTAATGTTTTATGTAGAGTGTCATCAAGTTAATGTTTCAAGTAGAGTGTCATCAAGTTAATGTTTCAAGTAGAGTGTTATTAAGTTAATGTTTTATCTATAGTGTCATCAAGTTAATGCTTCAAGTAGAATGTCATCAAGATGTTTTAAGTAGAGTGTCATCAGATTAATGATTTAAGTAGAGTGTCATCAAGTTAATGTTTTATGTAGAGTGTCATCAAGTAAATGTTTTATGTAGAGTGTCATCAAGTTAATGTTTCAAGTAGAGTGTCATCAAGTTAACATTTCAAGAAGAGTTTCATCAAGTTAACATTTCAAGAAGAGTTTTATCAAGTTAACATTTCAAGAAGAGTTTCATTAAGTTAATGCTTCAAGTAGAGTGTCATCCAGTTAATGCTTCAAGTAGAGTTTCATCAGGTTATGGTTTTCAAATAGGCTCGAGTATCGAAATTTTCATGTTGTTGTTAATTAAATTACACAAATCATAGTTGAACAGCATTTTATTAAGTTGACTACAACTTTGCTGCTCAATATTTTGTTATTGGTCTCAGTTTGTGACTCCCTTTGTCAATCATATGTACCACTCAAAGGCAACCAGATGTAGCTCAAACTTTCTTTCCTTTTGTTTAGTCCATTCAACAGTAAAGAAATGAGATAGTAAAGAATAGAAAGAAATGAGTATCTGCTACTTGCTCGTTATACTTAAATTAAGACATGTATAACTATCATTACCTCTGACATGGAGATTTGTAAAATGTCTTTATAAAATTAATTACCTGGTGGACCCTGGGGACCAAGTGGACCAAGAGCACCTTCACCTGTTTCACCTTTTTCACCTGGGGGACCTCGTTGACCTGATAATTATTCATTATAGATTAACACATTCTATTGTATTCGTAAGGTTATTTCCCTTTAAATTATACTATCCAGCTTTTAATACATTTCAAATTATTTTTTCTGAATTAATAAATAAAAATTATAAATTGTACCGTACTGATATATTATACAAAAAAATAATAAACAAACCACTCTAGTTTTAAGGATGTTAATTACCATCCGTCCTACCCTTCATTTATCAAATGCATCCAAACCGTAATGAGTTAAATATGCATTACATTTAATATCTTTTCAAGATCTCCAATACAAAAAGCTGTTCTGAATTTATTTCATGATATCCAAGGCATGTTATATTTTCTTCCACCAATGAGTTCAAACTAAATCTACATTCTATTTTAATTAGAATCTAAAAACATGCACAAAGGATAAATCCCCACTTTACAAAAAAATAACAAGCTACAAAAGAGCACTGACAAATGCCCATGTATGTTTCAGTTTTCAAAAGAACACCAGATATTCAAAAGTGTTTTCTGCTTATGGGTTATAAATTACAGATTAAAAAAAAAGTATTTAAACAACTTCAAATGTAATAATATAGTGCTTGTAGTTACCCTGTATATATCTTAACCTAAACCAATAGAAATATAGTAATCTTGAATAAATATAGCCTCAAGATTGATGTTTAAAAATAGCTTTTTATTATAGGTGTATCATTACTACCAATAAGTCATTAAAACTTCATAACTGTTATAATAAAGATAATGCTGTTAATTATTTAATTTTTTTTTAATGATAGCTTAATGAAAACCTAAGTTTCATATTATAGAGAGAAATAAAGTACAACATAATTTTGTTTACTATTTAATGTATTTAATTTAACATATTTAACATGGGCCAGTGTTCAGCAACTAAACCTACTACAGTGTTAATGAATAGGTTATAAGAATATAAACAATTTAAATTAAACTCTTCTTTAAAGAAAACCAAAACATGTTTCAATGAATGCTTCACTAAGTAAACAAAAACCAAAACTATATAGGATTGGATACATAAAGGGGTGTTTAAATAGATACACAGGAGTAACATCAAGGGAGAAATGAATATGCTGAATAGAAAAAAAAGAAATAATACACAGATAATATCAGAAGAAAGTAAAATAAATGAAAAGATAACAACAATAAAGAGATAAAATGATGAAAAATGTTACCTTCAGGGCCAGGTGGCCCCGCGGGCCCTGGTAAACCATGTAAACCAAGAAAGCCCCTTTCTCCTGGTGGCCCAGGAGGACCCCGATCACCTGTTTAGATATAATTGAAAGGAGACAAGGCAGGGAGGAGAGAATTTAAAATAGATGTGCAGGTTGATAAAAAGACAAGCAAATGAAAAGGGGAAGATAAATGAAGATAAACATTTAAAGTGAAAAGAATAAACAGTTATAAAAAAATGTCTAATTGAAAATTATCCTATATTATACTTTTAAATGATTTTTAAAAATAATTATAAATTATTGTAAGTAAGAGGTGCCTTTTTAAAACTATCATATTTTAAATTATTTGTAACTGCATAATAAATGTATAACTACCTAATTGTTTTAACTTTTATGAGAAGTTTAATCCTACATAATAGAAACTAATTATTTTTATTTTACTAAGTTTGTTTAAATTCTGTTATTGAATTATAAAAAACATCATATCATTAAAAATATAAAAAATAAGCATAAGATATTTGACAAAACAATATTTTTAAAAATAAAAGTGTAAGAACATGATGTGTGAAAATTGCTTATAATTTGTTCAAATTTTCTGCAAACTTACAAGTAACAATTTTCGTTAATGATTTTTTTTTTCAAACATTAAACTACAGTATTATGTTAAATTATTTAATAATACTGTATTGATAGTTTTTAAAACTAAAAATCCCTTTTCCGTAGCTATGTTTTTATTATTACAAAATAAATTTACAGAGAGCACTAATTTTTTTGTCATATTTTATGAGGACATTGTTTTCATGGGATTCTATAACATATATAAAGCAATTAGCTTTTAATTTGGGGGAAAAAATAACTTTTTTACTTGTTAGTTCATAAATCGTGCCTAATATGTGCTGCTATTGTAATGAACAAAGCATGCAGGTGATGATTTAAATAATTAACTAATTATTTCTTCATGACATATAAGGTGAACTCAAAACAAACAGGTTTTTAAATGGGGTTCAACAGTCAACATATTAATCCTACACACTTATTCCATCTGGTAAAATAGGCTAAAACTGTTTTTAAAAACTATTTTCAAAATTAGGGAGTAAAATTTAAATAAACAGCACACGTGCACACATTATAAATTAAAAACTGTAATCACTTAATCTGGTTTGGGAATAAGAGTTATCTGGAAAGCTAAAATACTTATATATTGCTGGATATGTAAACAATCTTAAGCTGTAATTTATCATTACCTTATTATTGCTAGCATTTTCATTTGCAAAAAGATATATGTATGTTTTTACATTTTATCTACTTCTAATCAACATTATTTGCAAGGAAATAGAAAGCTTAACTTAAAGTTTTATCAAAATTGCTATTAAATATTTTAGATACAACATTGCAATAAAATAGTAAGGGATGAAAAAATTAAAATTATCAGATGAAAAGCTGGGAAAGGTATAATATAATGCTTGAGAAATGGGAAACATGAAAAATGAAAATGGTCTGGACAGGAAAAGTTTCTCATTTACCTGGAGGCCCCGGAGGACCAGGTCGACCGTTCTTTCCAGCTTTACCTTGACCTGGTGGTCCAGGTGGTCCTTGCAAGCCCGCTGTCAAATCTTCTAACTGCTCTGTAGTTTTTTTAAATGCATGAGTTATCAGTAGTCACTACTTACAGACATATTTTCTATATATTTTAGTATGTAGGAGATCTATCAAACAGCTTGACCAGCCCCTCCCCCTCCAATCTCTCTGCAACTGGTTTCCCAATCCCAATCTCTCTGCAACTGGTTCCCCAATCCCAAATCTCTCTGCAACTGGTTCCCCAATCCCAAATCTCTCTGCAACTGGTTCCCCAATCCCAAATCTCTATGCAACTGGTTCCCCAATCCCAAATCTCTCTGCAACTGGTTTCCCAATCCCAAATCTCTCTGCAACTGGTTCCCCAATCCCAAATCTCTCTGCAACTGGTTTCCCAATCCCAATCTCTCTGCAACTGGTTCCCCAATCCCAAATCTCTCTGCAACTGGTTCCCCAATCCCAAATCTCTATGCAACTGGTTCCCCAATCCCAAATCTCTCTGCAACTGGTTTCCCAATCCCAATCTCGCTGCAACTGGTTCCCCAATCCCAAATCTCTCTGCAACTGGTTCCCCAATCCCAAATCTCTATGCAACTGGTTCCCCAATCCCAAATCTCTATGCAACTGGTTCCCCAATCCCAAATCTCTCTGCAACTGGTTCCCCAATTCCAAATCTCTCTGCAACTGGTTCCCCAATCCCAAATCTCTCTGCAACTGGTTTCCCAATCCCAATCTCTCTGCAACTGGTTCCCCAATCCCAAATCTCTCTGCAACTGGTTCCCCAATCCCAAATCTCTATGCAACTGGTTCCCCAATCCCAAATCTCTCTGCAACTGGTTCCCCAATCCCAAATCTCTATGCAACTGGTTCCCCAATCCCAAATCTCTATGCAACTGGTTCCCCAATCCCAAATCTCTATGCAACTGGTTCCCAAATCCCAATCTCTCTGCAACTGGTTCCCCAACCCCAAATCTTTATGCAACTGGCACCCATACCCCAATAAACACTATTTACAAAAAAGTGAATACAGTATAGTTTTTAAAAAGTTATAATAAAAGTAAACTCCTAAACAAACTTGTTATGGTTTGTCCTTCAATAACATAGAAAAATGCAAGATATATACTTGGCCTAATTTCAACCACTCATCATTTAATTCAACAGTAAAAAATCAATGCATACAACAACAACAACAACCCCCACCCCCACCCAACATGTTTAAAGTGTTACTTACCTCTAAGAATTTTATAACACATTTCTCTAACTTCAGATTCTGATATACTCCGTCCCTGGAAAAATAAAATAAAATAAATTTGAGACTTACATTCCAGGTGTGAAATTTTTGTTCCCATTAAATTAACAAATTGTAATTCAACATTTATAGTTAAATTTGCTGAAATTAAAATTTTGTTTGTGGTTAATTACATATGAGAATGACCTCAATTATCTTCTTTAATATAAGAACACATCAACTAGTATTAGACATGAACAACAACTCTCTTCTCAAGTCTACAACTGCTTCATAATATTTTTCCACTTAATTGATCAATGGTCACAGAAACAAGTGGACTCTACTTCACTTGCCCTATAGACCATCAGGTTTTGAAAGGGAACTTTTTAATTGATGAATAAGAACTAACTAAATAATAATGTGTTTGATTGGATGTACAAAGTCAAAATCAACTTCAGGAGGTCCTAGATAATGTTCACAAGACTAAAACTTTCATTTTAAAATGTCCAAAGGACTTACAGGTTGGCCAGGCATCCCAGGCATGCCAGGTTGGCCTCTCAGACCCCTCTGGCCAGGTGGTCCAGTTCCACCTGGTAAACCTGGCACACCGGGTACTCCTTGAAGTCCAGGCTGCCCTGGTTTACCCACAGCACCTCGTTCTCCAGGCTGAAAGATTTGAAAGGACACATTTATCAACAGAGTTGGACTCTGAAGATGTACTTGGTAAATACTAACAAATGCATGTAAAATAGTTTGACAGCAAGTAATAATATAATGCTAATTGAAATCTATGTAACACATCCAAATCATGATCAGCTTACCATTCCCTGAGAACCCTGGTTTCCAGGAGGACCCTTCCATGAAAAAAAAAAAAGACAAATGTAAAGAGATTGTGTGACACGATTAATTTAAATTTATATACACATTTATATTACATATATATACATATATAAATATATATAGGTGGCCTATATATATATATATATATATATATATATATATATATATATATATATATATATATATATATATATATATATAATATATATATATATGAGTTCAGATTATACGTCTCTATAAGATTAACCATTAATCAAATAAGAATGCTTGACTTTGAAATCAATTCTGTGACCATATTAAAATATGTTAGCATATAAAATTATCAGTGTAAGTTAACTGTCAGACTTACAGAGGGTCCGACATTTCCTCTCCGTTCAGAATCAGACTCATATTTAATGATTTGTGTCTGAAAGTAATTGATTAGAGCATAATTGTAAAACCAACATAGATTGTTAAGTTTCATTAGCCTACCTGACCTATTCTTTCCTGCAAAAGTTCTTTTATAATTGAACAGTAGCAAATTAAAAAGTCTAATCTTTATTTTTTATTAACAGCTGTACATGGAACAAATTGAAATCTGGAATGTTGTAGTGAAAGCTCAATGTTAACGTTGAGTGATATTTTCTAATACGTAAAACTATAAAAATGGTGATGACATTGCTTATATGTTTTGAGTAATATAAATCATGTGTAATATCACTAAAGGAAGCCAGAAATAAAAAATTATAGAGTTTAAAAAAAGCAATAAGTTATAGCTAATGTAAGCTCTGTAAGCTTGTTTCCGTATGAGCTCAGTAGATTTATATTATACTTACCACAGATCCTTTCTCACCAGGTTGACCAGGAGGTCCCTAAAGAAATGAAAACAAATTCAGAGGTTTTAACTTCTAATTAATCACTTTTAATAAACTACAGATAAACTATTCCATACTTATAAAATTTAGCCAATCACGATAACAGATGTTATTAATTGGTCTTTAAAGTAAGTCTTTGTTGTAAGTGGCTGCTGTTGGTACTAGGTCTACATTTATGTTAAATCTAAATAAATGTATTCAAAATACTAAATATACACCTGTCATATAAAAACAAAATCTATATAATACCTGGTAGATTTACCCTCAATTTAAAAGATTTTAAAATTGAACATTTACATAATGTATTAAATAATAAAGATAGATTATGCTTACAGGTGGTCCCATCATACCCATAGGTCCTGCTGGGCCAATAGGACCCGGAGGTCCCGCAGGTCCTGGTGTGCCCTGCAACAAATAAAAAAAATGGTAATTTAAAAAATCGGTAAAATAAAAACTTGACTGATGCAAAGAATAAATTTTAAACACTGTTTTAGGATGTTAAAAAAAGAAAGTATAGAGGTTAAAGCATATGTAGAATTTACTAGATTATAACTGTTGGTTGTAATAGATAATTAATGCATTGGGAGGATGGCGTGATAGAAAGTGAATGTGGATTCTGTTGAATGAAAGAATGTGTAGTTGAGTTGCGCATCAGATAGGGAGTTTGTTGTAGTGAAAGATTGGGCTAGTCTTGCAGGGACTCCAGTCTTGCCAGTCAAAATAGTACATGTAATCAAGTTATTGTGCATCAGCTCAATAAAAACTTTGAAAATCTTTGTGGTCTATTTTCATCTTTGCATAACATCTTGTACTTGACTTTCTCCTTCTTCTTTGTTCTTAATTTTAGTGTGTGGAAGGGATTCCCTCCAACACAATTAAGTATACATGTCAACTGGTTATGCGCCATGGAGGCCGTTGACTCTGATTTTAGCCTGCTTTTCCTTTTGCATTTGCTTCCATAACCTTTGTCCAACCAAGAACAAACTACAAGTAGAAGAGTGGCTGTCCCCAGCTAATGAGCCTCATCTGCCTGAGGGTTCAAACTTGAGACTTTTCGGTTAAGCAACCATAAGCTTTACCAACTCGACCACACTGACCCTTTACTTGACTTTGAACCCTGCTGTTCTGATGGTAGTATGGGTGGTAAATGCCCTCACACTGACTGGCATCATAAATGAGGGTTTTGAAACTTATCTACATCTTACCCACCAGTCTTAACATTGTGCACATCATTCAATGGGATATTTTTTAACAAACTTTATGTAGTTGAAAATTTTTTTGTATCATAAGAGCGTAAAAAAGATTTACATTAAGAAATGTCAACTCAGCACATAAAAATAATTTTAAAATATTTACAAGTTATTATCCCCATTTCCTTAAAAGATTACCAGTTCAGTCAAGTTTGAAATTTGTGTACTTTGTGCCATGTGAAGCACACATTTCTTTAAAAAACACAAACAGGAAAAAAGACACAAAAAATAATATAGCCATGCTTAGAAGACAGGAATAGATTAATGTCAAGGTGACTTCATTTATATTTACTGCTTGCCATAATAAAGTGTTCTAGCTAGTGGAAACTAATTATATCCATCATTAACAGATAATTGCACCCACTCATGTAAAACAGGTTTATTGAGATGGAGACAGCCTTAAATAAGAGAGATAGTTGGTTTTTTTTTGTTTATGTGTCTAAAAGAATTTCCTCATTGGATGCAAACAATAAGTTAGCTAATTTTTGCACTGGCTGAATGTTCTGGCACTAATACAACAAAACTGCATAAAAAAATTATGAGTAAGCGTGTGGGTTTCCCACATTTGTAGTGTATTGCTTAACAGACGCTTGAAATTTTTTTTTTTTAAACATAGTAATCCTTATCACCTTGGCATTTAATGAACTGCTTTAACAAGTTAAACATCTACTTCAGAGTTTCTTCCAGGCATCTCTTCGAGGGGGCTAACCGAAAATTTTTTACCGCCCCCGAACGAAATGAAATTTATATAATTTATATAGAAAATATATACTTTTAACAGTGTCCGCCCCCCCGAAGAAAGTCTACCGCCCCCCCCCCCCCCCGAAAATTTCAAGTGCCCCCCCCCCCCCCCCCCGGAGAAAAAAGTCAGTCTGGAAGAAACACTGATCTACTTGTGTTTTTGACTCATAATTAAAGAACAATTACTGAAGTAATGGAAATGATATTTACAAGTGAGAAAACTAATTATCACATAAACTAGTTTTGATGTTTATTAGAAAATAACAGAGTATAAAATTGGCATATACTTGATATATAATAGAGAAATAAAAAATCAATTAATTTAAGGTTTATTAATTAAAAAATTATGATATTGTAAAATATGTGCTGATCAAGTAAATATTTATTTAAGAACAAAACACTATGCAGCCTTTCTTGCTGTAATTTGTGGTATTGAAGAAACATATGGTACATATATAAAACTAACATTCATTTGTGAAAATAGAGAGTGGACTACTTCATCTAGGTCATTCTATCTAGGCGTGAGGCTACCCCACACAGGAGTAACGAGTTTCAATGGGAAGTAATCGCGTAATCAAATGTCAAGGGACACAATCATCCAATTAAATACGTTTTTTAAAAAGGGCAACAACCAGTGAAATAAAGCCTACACAAATTAAGAACAATTTTCACCGCCGGCTAAAGTATTTAGTAGACTGGAGCATGTCTAGATTAAAAAAAAAAAGAAAATGCAACACCGGAAATTTTATGTCTAGTTATACTGTCATTTTATATTAATAAAAGCTTGTAAAAATGGGTGAAATTCTGGCAAGCAGCGTTGAACATTCATTCTAGTTAAGACACTAACAAAAACATTCGCTAAAAACGCAAACAAGGTACATTTACTTTCAAAATTTTTGAGAGATAACTTGCTTCTTGTTTGGGATAATTAAGGAGTTTTTTTAATGTACATATTGAAATTTAAAAGATGACTTAGTAAGCTCCGGATAAGATGTAAATGGTGTTCTTTCTCTAATGTGAATACTCCACCATAGATGTAGACTATTTGTTACCGCCTGTTCAAATGTTCAGCATGCTTATAGAGAATCAAAGTGGGCAGCAAAGAATAATGACTTGACTTTTACTTTCTTTTTTTTTTCCTCTTGGAGTCATCCGTAGGCCAACTGTTATTACCTACACAAGAGGAAAGCGGTACTCAATAGTCGGCCATTAACCGTCCGGGTTACCAGCTAGTATTTATTATTTGCGAACTCTGGGGCGATGGGCAATGTGGTAGGGGGGAAGGTACTGACTGTAACCAAAGGAGGTGGTGGTGGTGGGGGTGGTGGTACTGACTGTAGCCCAAGGAGGTGGGGGGTAGGGGGAAGGTACTGACTGTAGCCCAAGGAGGTGGTGATTGTGGGGGGGGGGGGGGGGGGGGGGGTAGGGTACTTACTGTAGCCCGAAGAGGTGGTACGGGGGTGGGGGGTGGTACTGACTGTAGCCCGGGGAGGTGGGACTGCTCCAACTGCCCCGGGTACCGGTAGTAACGGGTTTCAACCCAGCGAACACGTGAGTTGTTTCTGTAAAACGGCGGCTAATGTTGGTTATTTTTAGTTTGGATACAGGACTTGTCGATTCGAATTTACTTGCGAAAACTTACAGATACTCAATTATGACGCCGCCCACTCCAGAAAGCAGGTACACACTTCAACATACCTGGTACTCCTACCCCCCAACTATCCCATAATTGCATTGCGATTTTTGTTGTGATTTATTTCTACAAATATTAACTGAACCAGGTTAAGATCGGAAACAATCGATAAACGTCTTTATTTCAATTAAAAAAAAAACAACAACCAAGTAGGCCTACCTGAAAAAAATTAATTTAAACAAATTACTTTTTGAAAAATGCAAAAATGTGACCTCACACTTTTCACTCCCTCCCCCACGCCACACAACATCACGTAAGTCCGTCCCACCCCCTTCCAAATGCGTATCGTCATTTATGGATGACTGCAAACCACGTACTAGTTTGGTCCTTAAATTTGCTATAGGGGTCATGCATACATGCATAGCCTACATACAAACTAATGGGGTTTTAGTTTACAAATACATAATGCAAAACAGATTTGCCTCGAATAATACAACATCCTGTCGGGGCCTGTGGCTTCAAGTGAAGGAGCCTACAGAGAACCAATAGACGTAATTTCATTCGCATCACAGGTTTTTTTTTTTTTGCAGCAGCTACGTTCTTGAATTAGAAAACCATTAATGATTTTAAAAATCCCGTAAGAAGTCTATAACATGATCCTCATTATTTTATCTTCAGATGTCTCACACAAAAATCTATTACTTTTGCCAACGCTTTTAATATACACCCTACAGCTAAAAATAACTTGCCACACAATTTGAAACAAATTGATATTAGAAAGGTTAAAATTATCCACATTTTCACTTGCTATTTTTTTCTATTATTATTTAAGCATCCACGCGCTGAATGTCATAAATAATCGACGAAAAACCCACACACATATATCAAACTTTTATCGTAAAAAAAAAAAAAAAATAAACAATCTACGGTGCTTTCTAAGGGAGAAAATTGCAATAATTATTACCCATCTCTGCGCAAATTTCCAAAAACAGCTTGACGTAAATGAGTCACAATGATTATCTGGGATCTCGACTTTTTTTTTAGCCCTTCTAAATAAGTGTAGCCAAAACAAATATCAAAGCCAGCACGTTGCACGCTAGTAGATATGGTGATACAACAGCTTCACACATGCACACGGCGGGTTTATTTTACTAGCGGCCCAGGTTCACCGGAATTAAGACCTACTGCACAGACCTAGTTAGCGAGGTCCAGAAGCAGGGCTTAGCAGGGCAGAAAGTCCGTGGTTCTCAGGGGCGAGTAACGAGACAAATTCTATAGATTCTTCTTTAAATAGATCAGTACTTATTCAGTGTTTCTTCCTGGGGCACTTGAAATTTTCGGGGTGGGAGGGGACGGGGGGGGGGGGGGGGGGGGGGGGCTGTGCACTATAATTTCCGAGGTAGTGAGGACGGACGGACACTTGTAAAAGTATATATTTTCTTTATAAATTTTATTTCGTTGGGGGCGGGGGTGGGGGGGGGGGGGAGGCGGGGGTAGACATTTTTCGGGGGAGGGGGGGGGAGGGCGAAGATATGCCCGGAAGAAACTCTGCCCTTAATTGTCTTAATTGTCTTCATTGTAGGGTGGGGGAGTAATATTCCGTTTTAAACTCAGTTAATAACTAGTTATTTCAAAATAATCGATTCCTATATACTATACTATACAATGGAATATGGGCCTGGGTTTACCGATTTTGACAAAGAGACAGAAAAAAAAGCAAGTGCAAGGAGAGCGATGTCGACATTCCCACATACGCAACTCCATTATTCCATTCCTCTTGC